GGTGGCTAAAAATCGATGGAGAGGTGGGGTGTTTGTTTTCGTCATCAAGCCGGGAATTGTCGAAATAGCATTGCGATGACTAGTGAGGAAGAAAATAGAACGGGAATATACGAGAGAGTAGGGATGCAGAGTTTCAGAGAATCTTGAGTATCATGCCTCGGATGCGAGCGTGCGTAGGTGTACACGTGCGTGTTTAAAGCATTGTAAGTATGGAACGTCGTTTGACGTTTTTTGACAGAGTGCATTCAGACATTTATTGCGAAATTCGGTTGTATCGAGAACGCATCGGTGTAAACAGCTTTGATCTTTGATCAGCTATTTGAAAATGTATAATCAAAAGGAGCATTGTTTTCGTTTATTTTCGTTCTCTGTGCAGTAACGATTAGCATGTGTTAAAGTACCACCATAAATGCCGGATTACGAGGACAAAGTCAAATGCATGGATCCATTCAGTGCTCATGAGATGCCCGCCTCATACATGATGCTACAAAAAAATTTCAATCGTGTGAGGGTTAGAGGTACATGCATTCTACGTAGTATTTAGGCACGCATTGCACACACGTATTTTTTATATTCATGTGCTGTGACGTTTCGTTTGAGAGTCCGATGGTCGATTAACAGTTCTAAAATTGACGACCTTTATTACTGCATAGTTACTCAGTTATTTAACTGGCAATTGCAACTCATCACGAGCTTATGCCACTCTCTTATCACCATCATCGCTTTCTTCCTTCCTTGACGGCCAGGGACAGGGACGAGATTGAGTTTGTTCCTCGAATTTACTCGTTTCTCCGTCTCCGTCCCGGCTTTTTTCGAGTCGATCACATTTTCGGGATCCTCGATTGCAAAATTTCGCCTCGACTTTTTTCCTTGTCCACAACATGCTAAATCAACGACATTTCATGACTAGCATGAATCGAGAATAAACCAATCTCAACACGAAATTGCATCACGCAGTAGTTTGGATGCTGACGTCGTTTAAAATAATGGTCGCAGTAGAAGAGCGTAATAACAAACGCGAAATAGCATTCGTCTCGATATGTTTGAGATGATAGACAGAGTGATATGGAGTCAGGTGTATGTTGCTATTTTGCATGTTGCTGTTTTATGCCAATGTTTTAAAGAGTGCCAAATTCAAATGATGACGTTGAAATTCTAGGAAGCTTTAAGTGGATTGTTTTTTCAGGAATATTCAATATCGTGGTGAAGTGTTGGATTCAGTCGATTCCGTGCAGATTATTGTTTTATTATTTCGTTTACGTGTTTGATTCGTTGCATTATTTAGACAGGTGCTCTCTTGTGGCTTAACTGTGAAAAATTCAATTTTGCCATTACGGAACAATGATGAGCGTTCTTTTCAATAAGGTCATCAGTAAGCGGATCAGCTTTTTTCAATAAGGTCATCAGTAAGCGGATCAGCTTTTTGCGATCTACTGCTAAAATCGTCGCAATTTTCGCTTCTTCCTTTCCTTACGAAATTTCTTTGAGTCGTAAGAATCTTAAGGCGTAGTTGATTCATACCAATGCTTAATTATCAGTAAACCGTTCCAAGTTATCTATTTGTTTAGCTGTATTTACCTCGATCGGCCGAACTTTCGGCTTTTATAGCGGCGACCACAACATGCTAGCTAGGTTGGCGTATTCCTCGTCGGTTTCGTTTTCCGCAAGTCACCCTCTCATTTGACGATTCTGTCCTCCCATATTTTGGGAAGTCGCTCAGTATACTTATGGCGAGAACTGTCTTCATCCTTTGCATATTGTAGAGCAGAAGTATTACGCTATTCTGGAAGATATTGCGCCATTGGTTGGGTGAACAGGCATGAAAGTATCATCAAGTTATAGTAGTGCTATTTTGAATATCAGTAATTGATAACGGTAATATTGGAGTAGATAAAACTAGTAGAACGGTCGGCTAGATCTATAAGAGAATCAGTTGTATCAGTGCGTTGAAAACATTTCCTATTATTCGTAGAAAGTTTTGGCCTTCATACTAAGAAAGAGGTTCGTTTATCAGCTTGTGTTTCAGACTAGTTCAACTTGGTAATCACACGAGAATGAAAACGAGGATGGGCCAAATGGTCCTCTTGTTATTTTTGATCGGTGTTTTCGGCGTATATTTAACAGGTAACGTTGTCTTTCTTCAACGGATTATAACGAGTTGTGTATTTTCTACCTTTTGTATCAACGTAAGCATCTTAGGGTTTCAACTAAGTAAGCATCTCGGAATCATCTTTAGTAACTGAAAATGAGCGTTTGAATGGTATTCTAGACAGTTATTTTGGTCATTCATTTTTGAACATATAATTTCATCAATGCTTTTAATTTTTTTTTGTTTCATTTGTAGATGCCTCCTTAGCTGCGCTGTCAATTGATTTCGGATCACAGTATATGAAGATCGCACTAGTGAAACCTGGAGTACCCATGGAGATCGTTTTGAATAAAGAATCCAGAAGGAAAACGCCAAACCTGGTGGCATTCAGAAACGGAGAACGATTTTTCGGTGATGCGGCTCTTGCGACTGTAGGCATTTTCTAAACACTTTATGTATTCCTGAACACGATGTCGAAAAATTTAAAAACGTTGTGATTGAAAAACTTTCCAAGCAATCGAGCTGAAATACCAGTTTCGTATGCATAGGGACACTGAATTGTCCGAAAATGACTAACAAATATGACTAACAACATCAAACTGATTGATAATAAAAACAATGATTTACAACTTTACCAAAATTTAATATGATAGAACGCAATTTGTTTGAAAGCAAAAATCTTACGTAAAGATTAGAAAATGTTCTAATTAGGTGATGAGTCATTTCGTGTACAATTTTGCCCCAATTCGAAAGGAATTTGTATTGGTTGCAACGAAATGTATTTTCTCTCGATGAAGTATTGGAAGTAGTCCATTTCAGTCAGTGAAGTATCCACACAGTGCTTGTGGATTTCTGTTGGATATTCTCGGGAAAAAGTTTGATAATCAAATCGTCTCACTGTATAAGCGAAGGTTCCCTCATCTAAATATAACAGCTGATGAAGAAAGAGGAACAGTACAGTTTGTAATGTAGGTTTTCTTGGAATCGTTAATTTTTTCTCAAACGTTGAACTGCATTTGATTTTCGAATAATTTTTTATTTTCAATTCATCAATAAACTTTCCTCAACTTTTATTCCTTAATAGAAAATATCCGGTGTGAGAATGTTGCTGTATTCTTTGGAATTGGTAGCTCTTGTATGATAATTTGGCACACATCAATTCAATCGTGAAGCGTTTCTAGCGATGGTGAAAAGTACAGTGTGGAAATGCTGATAGCAATGGTGTTGTCGTATGCGCGCAAAACGGCCGAAGATTTCGCCGAGCAACCGATACGCGATGCGATCATCACTGTTCCTGCATACTTTAATCAAGCGGAGAGACTGGCAATGGTTGCAGCTGCAGAAATGGCTGGAATTAATCTCCTTCAGGTACATATTCATGTTCTGTGCAAGTGAAGTTCATTCTCTTCAAATCATTCGAGAACGATCAGTCTACGATTTGTGATCATGCCATAAGTTGTGAAATGTCATTTGTGATCATAGTCAGCCATAAAAGTTTTGAAATGTCAAGTTTTTAAAAAGGCAACTTCCGTTTTGCAGCTAATGAATGCGCACTCAGCAGCTGCTCTGAACTATGGTGTTTTCCGAATAAAGGAAATCAAAGAACAGGATCAAACTATGTTGATTTATGACATGGGTGCATCCAAAACTACAGCAGCTATTGTTAGCTACAATCTTGAAAAAGATAAACATTCCAGTGAGAAGAATCCACGCTTGAGGACACTTGGATTTGGGTATGTTAGCATTTTTTTCATTACAATTTATCAATTGGATGCACTCTATCGTTACATATTCTTCAGTTTTAGATGGTGCATCTATTCGCATAATATTATTATTAATTATTTTATGCTTAATTCTTCTCTGGTTTCTTCAGTGAACATCTCCTGAATGATAGTTTGCTAGTGTTTCAATTTTATTTGAATCAACCGATTCTATCACAAGATATTTTCATCCGTTAGTGACAGTTTACCTTAATTTTGGTTTATAGATTCGATCGTACGCTAGGTGGTCTTGAGATAACACTTCGTTTACGCGATCATCTCGTTCAAGAGTTCAGAAAAACAATCAAAACAAAGAAAGATATTGCCACAAACCAGCGAGCAATGGCTAAAATGCTCAAGGAAGCCGAACGACTCAAACAGGTGACCTTCATTCCATACATATAGAGAAATAAGTTTGAATATTGAATTAATACGTCCGAAAGTAATATAAAAACGATATAATACTCATCATGGCAACATGTTGTTCCTTTTACGTGTTTCTAGTTTGGGATCTTTTGAAAGAGCTGTATTTTGTAACGACTGGAAACATGTTTTATTGGCTGTTCATAGAGCTTTGGCCATCAAGAAACAACTATTCACTTCGTTCAGGTATTATCTGCAAATGCAGATCATTTTGCACAAGTTGAAAGTATTCACGAAGATCACGATTTCAAAGTTCGTGTAACTCGTGCTCAGCTTGAAGATATGATGACTGATTTAGAGCCGAGAATGATACAGCCAATTAACGATGCGCTGAAAATGGCTGAAATGGATATTGGTCAAGTGAGTTGGCAGTGTTATTTTTGATTGCGAATTTCCTTTCTTTGCAAATTTTCTCATTCAATGCGAATATCGATCGACGTCACCACTTCAGAATTTCATATTTTAGAAATCAACATTACATTTTAAATTATCACTGATTTATTCAGTGATATTGTAAGCGATTCGAATCATGATCGCACACATTCCTCTTTTTCGGTTCGTATGTTCAGGTTTTTTCAATTTAAAACCATGAATAAGATAATTCTTTTCATGGGTATTGAACAAAACATCCCTTTTTTTAGAATGTCTTTCTTTTTGTAGCATTTTATTTATTAGCAGTCCCAAATGAAATTTCTTCTAATCATGACGTGAACTGCTTTATTAATTTTCAAATTCAATACTTCATCGATATTGTAGCTTGATCAAGTTGTGTTGATGGGCGCTGGTACGAGAGTGCCTAGGGTGAAGGCCGTCTTGCAACAGTTTCTCGAAAAGTATGTTATTGGAAGTTATTCAAAATCAGTCACTCATTTGGTCAAAGCAAACTTCTTGGTTTCAATTTCAAACAGCTTGTTGCAATTCTTTAAAAGCTCGTTTCCCTTTCATCATCTACCTTCCGTTTCTCTCTCTCTCTCTCTCTCTCCCCCCCCCCCCCCCCACTTTATCCCCGTCTTCTGCCTCTCTCTTCTTCCCTGGTTTTTATACGAACCTCTTGATGACATTAGGTGTTGTCATGCGATAATAATAACCAATCTAACTTTCATAACTATTTTACAAAATGTAATCAGTTTTTCAGTAAAGAATTGGGTAATTTTCTGAATACGGATGAAGCAATAGCGATGGGTGCTGTCTATGAATCGGCTCATCTCAGTAAAGGTTTCAAAGTGAAAAGATTCGATGTTTATGATTTGCTCATCTTTCCCATTCAGGTTTGTTGTTTGGATTTCGATTAGCTGAAGATCTTTCGAAATGAGGCCATTTTGATTCATTTTATTTCGTGAATATGTAGTTAGCAGACACACCCCTGTGTAGTTTCACCTAAAGATGTGAATTCACGAGTCTGCTCGAATATTTTTTGTGATTCCTGCATAATGTTGGAACTTTTAACTACACACTGCCCCTTGAATTTATTTTTTAATATTCATCGCTCAGTTATGCAAGACCAAACTGAGTAAACATATATGATGTCATAGATATTGAATGTGAAATCAACGTGAGCGTTTCTTGTTTAAGTCATTCCGGACAGATGAATGCTTCGTTTATGATATCATATAATGGTGCAGTACTGCTTGATATTTTTGAATAAACAGTTACAATTTATGTACAGGTTAACTTTTCGAGCACATCTGAGAAAGATGGCAAACAGACTTCACGTATTGTTCATCGGCCAATCTTCAGCTACAGATCGTTTTACCCAAGCAACAGAAAAATACTCTCTTTCACCTCGTATAATGAAGATTTTGGTTTTAACATCAATTATGGTGAACTGAAGCAGTTCAATAGCAAACAGCTTGAGTGATTCTTTATTTTAAATTTTCAGTTCTGTTTCTTTTTCGTTTTATGATTTAAGGCTGGCTGTCGTCGTAAATTCTAGATAAAATTACCAGAAAGTAATTGATATGGTGGGTAAAATTTAATGTTATATTCAGTGGGAATGTATAATTTTTGTTTGCCTACGTGCCACTTGTTCGTCTTGATTTGTTTATTTGAAATTCGGGTTTTGTTGTTCGTATGAGAATAATTTTGCAGAGAATTTGGATCTCTAAATGTGAGTGATATCGAAATGACTGGTATAGCTGAAGCAGTTCGAAATGAAATGGCTGATGAGGGTACTACCTTGAAGGTATTGTTTCGTCGTTTATGAATTAGGAATCACTCATTATTTCTGCAGTGGTTCAGTTGAACGTTACGAAAATAGTGCGATTAGAATTTTGGAAAAAGGGTGTATGTCCAGATTGTTCAGTGTGAATTACTCAAGTTTAAAAGATAGGAATAGAATGATCAGTGCATCGTTAGTGTGTTATTCAGAAATTAGTATGTGAAGAAGCGGGGAATGTGTTGCAGGGTGTGAAGGTACGCTTCAGTATGGATGGCTCAGGCATAGTTCATGTGGAGGGTGCGGAAGTAGTTTTCGAGAAAACGCCCAAAGAGCAGTCTGCATTCGCTTGTATGCTTTTTCATTTTTGCTTGTTTATTAAAAAATCGAAAGTGCTCTTAAAATTGATCGTTCTTCGCATTTAATTTTCAACTCGAATTTCATTCAGTGTGTCAATTTTGTTTATTCATTATTTCATGAACTGTACTTGATTTAACATGTAAAGCTTGTTTTACTTCAAAAACCTTAAACAGAAAAATCATTTCAAGCAATTGCTGGAAAGTTCGCTGGTTTCTTCTCATCTCGAAATGACGATAAGGTGAATGAGGAAGTGGAGAATAAAAAAGATGAGTCGAAAAAGGTTGACGATGGGAGCAAAGAGAATAAAAAGACTGAGGAAAAAGTGAGTAAAAAAGAAGAACAAACGAATGATAAAGAGAGGAAGAAAAGAGAATCAAAAGATGAGTCAGAAAAGGTGATTATTTATATTTCTTAAAAGCACCATCCAAAGTACCATTATGCTTTGAATTCAGCATGATTGATGCGTTTATAGTTCAGTTCCTAGTTGTACTCGAATAATTTTAAAACCTTTGATTGGTTAACAGCGCTTGTGAAAGTCAAGGAATCAGCATAAATAGAGTGAGATGAAGGACGTTAAATGAAAACGTTATCGGTCATTTTTACGGTAAGCCAACGGCTCAGAAACAAAAAAATGCTTCAAGAAAATCGTGAAATCATGAGACGGATTTGTAAGAGGTGGACACTGAACGCACTTTCATTATATCTATTCAAGATGTTCAGTTGTATTTCGAAAACTTTCATTTTCAACGTGGAATATTTCCGTAAATCAAAAGTTTAAACGCAGCTCATTTGAGTCTTCGTATCCATCGACACTTCAGAACTGTATTATTTCAGACTGAGAAATCGACAACCGAACCACCCGAAAAACCAGCGCAAGTAAGAATTTAATGTTCAATAACCATGTGAAAATTTCGTGATATTTCTTCTCGAATGAGAAAAGAATCAATGTGTGCACAAATTGAAATCTTTGAAGGCTCTCCTCATAAAATTTGAAAATTATTATTTACTTTCTCCCTTGTCGTACGTGTATTTTCAGAAAAAAACTCGGTCAAAAATACTTTTATAGCATCTACTGGAATAATTTTAACCTGTTTTTTTTAATAATCTCATTTAGAGAGTGGCCAAATTGTTTATTGTCGACAACAAAATGCCTATGAAACCATAATTGGTATCTTTATAATAAATAACTTGCACCTTTAGGAAACAGTCAATGATAAGGCGAAGGAAACGGAAAGCAAAAAAGAAGAGAAACCAAAAACTGTGAAGATCGCGCTGAAATTGAAAGAAACAAGATTGGATTTGTTCGGACTTCCCAGTGAACGAATGGCATCTGCTAAAAAATTGTTCGTTCACTCTATGTTTGATTTGGTGTTTGAGTGAAAAGATCAAACACGAGGAGTCGATATAAAATCGATCTTTTTTCATGTTTAGTTGCTCGCATCTGTTTTCGTGTTTTTTGTTTTATTCGTTTCAAGTGCCATGCCCATGAACATATTAAAGATGTAATCGATTTGTTTTATTTTTTTTTTTCAGAGCAAGAATTCTTTGCTTATGTTCCAAGTTAATCATTCTGAAAGATTTTTCCCTGTTTGTGATTTAGCGGGATCCAATGTTTTACTTTCGACAAGATTTCCTTTTTAAAGTTATCTTCAAAGTATCTATAAAACAATATTTGTTTTGATATATAGGCTGAGCGACTTCGATGAACGGGAGCACGCGAAAGAGGAACGTGAAGCGGCTCAAAACAACCTTGAATCATTGGTGTATGATACTGCTGATAAGTTGGAGCAATCCGAATATCAGGTTAGGTTTAGAGTTGATTCGATTCGATTAATCGTTCAGTCGTGTTGCTTGTTGATAACCAACGCGATTGGTATAAATAGCTGATTATGTCAATGCAAATATTACTGTTGAAGATGTTTTTCACGAACGAAGAGCAGACTGCTGTATCTGAGCAGCTGAAAGTAGTGCGCACATGGTTGGAGGATGAAGCAGATTTTAAAACAACCACTGAAGAGTTCGAAAGTAAGCGAAAATCAATTACCGACCTTCTGAAACCGATCAAATCTCGCATGAAAGAGCACAAAGTTGTTTTTTTTTCATTCATTTTGCATGTTTCTTTTTTTTATATTGTTTGCTTATGACAATCAAAATGATTTTGGTTTTCCAGTTTTTGTCTCTATGATTTATCTCGATCTAAAAATGACGCATAATTGATGAGCATTTCATCGAATTAGGGAGATGGTCACAGTTGATTTAATCGCTATTTTTTACCTAATTCTTGGAATTATTGAATTTGTCAGAATTAGTCAAATGCGAGGAAGATGGAATTAAAACTGGTAATAACTGTGGTTATTTAAGGAACGTCCTATAGTAGTGAGTGAGCTGCTCTCACTTTTCAATCATACGGAACTGTTCTTAAAGATGAGTGAAAACTTAACAGCAGCTAATGTATTTTCTGAAGTTGAAATAACAACGTTAAACAAAGCATTCAATGAAACAAAGGTCAGTGAAGTGTTTTTTATGATTTTAATCGTCACTTTCAATTTCTTAATTTATTGTGTCTTCAATTAAAGTGAATGATTTAATAGGATTGTCTGCTACATTTTCGCTTTTTGCCGCCGAGTCGTTGGTTAATGATGCCTCATTTCAGTATGATTGTTTGAGGGAATTCAGTTCACATATACATATTCGTACGCCTAATTGAACGGAACGGAGATTTGACTGAAAATTTGTGGGAAATTGAAATTAAATTGATCGGCGAATTATTTCTCGATTGACAAGAGCATAGGTCATGTAGTGTAGATCGCGTTATCTTTATGTATGTAGGTATAACGAGCACGACCTTATAAATAAAGCATTTCGTTGGTATCAGTCTCGTTTAAATGAATGTTATGACGAGACCGCAACTGTCGGATTGCCGATTTCAGATTTGGTGGAATGAAAAAAATGCGACGCAGTTAAAGTTGAAACCGAATGAGCAACCAGCGTATACAGTTCAAGAAGTTGTAGAAAAGGTTGCACTGTTGTTTCTCATGTTTTGAGTATTATCACAGAGTGATGTGTCTGATCACGAACTACTCTTTGAACATCTTCGGCATTGTATTGGATGCTTTTGATTGGGGATGAGAATTGGAAGATTAAAAGATTCTCTCTACGACAATGATGTGGTTGAGACGATGATGATTTTGAATGTTTTCACGGCGAGAATTGCAACTGGATATCTAGAAATTTGTAAAAATCGAGAAGAACAAAACCTTTTCAGCTTTATTCTATGAGATTGTTGTTGCAGCTTTATTATTTATGAACCTTTTCAGCTTCATTATATGAACTCATGCTCTCATATTCGCTCATTTGCAGCTCGCTGAAATTGTTTTAGATTGATCATTCCCTGAATCAGATAGCAGTGGGCTGTTGAGTTTTTGTCAAATGAGTGAAATTTAGTAGAAAAATTAATTTCAGATGCGAAACTTGGATCGTGAAGTGAAATATTTGCTGAATAAGATGAAATTCGCAAAGCCGAAGACTGAAACTGTTGTGGAACCCAAAGGCAACACCACTAATGAAACAGATTCAGCGAAGCCCCCTGAGCAAACTGACAATGATTCTGCCGAAGGAGTTTCCCACTTAAATGCGACTGATGCGAAAGACGAGAAGTCTGCGACAAAAGAACCTGAGGTGACCACTACCGAGAACATTACGGAGGATCCATCTGCACAAAAGGAAACCACGTCGGAAAATGCTCCCGATGAAGCTGAGAAATCACATGATACGTCCGAATTGTGAATGAATCTCGATTAAATTATCTTTGCGGTTGTAAGCCAGCTAAAATATTGTGGTGAATGTTTTATATGCATTGTTTTCGCGTAGGGGTTATCACATGCCAGTGTCCTTTTGTGTTCCAGTTCTTTGGGAACTATGATCTACGAGAAGCACTAGCAGCTGCATCGAATTTTGAAAATGAAAGGTAAATGAATTTTATTTTTATAATGAAGTGATCAATATCTCCTCAATCTTTTGTTGTTCACTGACTAAGTTATCGCCATATCCTAACGCTGTGGTATCGCCATAAATCCCTGAACCTTATTTATCGTCGTTTCGTCTGCGTTATTCCCTCAGTTTATCTTTTCAGCAGTATCAAAAAAGCAGTGAAACCATTTCACTATATACACATAGTTTTATTCTAGTGTTACGGGCAAATTGCACAGTGGGGCGTTCATTTTGATTTTGTTGTGAATTGTTCGTTCATTCACTCTTATGAACTCATATTGTGTGTAATAATAGTGATGTTAATTTATCTTTCAAGTTATTCCACTGATAATACTTTAATTTATTATTATTGTAGTTATCCGTTTATGATTGAATGAGCATCGGTTTTTCCTTTGTTTCTATGTTTATGTTGTGTATGGGAATGGATTTGTGAAGGGGTCAACTTGAGTGTTTGTGAGTGTATAAGTTTCTGTGATAATCATAACCATTACGAGCTGCATTATTTTAATGATTTTTGTGTTTACGACTGTAAACGTCGTCGCTTAAGACATAAGGATAATGCTTCGTTCTTCTTCTGATTGTATTTTTCGTTTCTTCAAATACTTTTTTTGTTCTTTTCTTTTGACGCTCGTAACCTTCGTTGTTGTTTGTTCGTTTACGGTCGTCTGTTTTGTTCTCTTCAAATAATATATTGTTTCATTTCTGAGAAGTTCGCTGAAATGATACACGCACATGTGAGCGCAGATGCCAACAAGAGTGCGTCAATAGCTAACCGTCGTCAATTGCTGTGGGCTATGTACCACATAAGAAGAAATCTATGAGAATACACTACATATGATGCAAGCATAAAATATGGTGAACATTAGTGGGAGCTATGTAGTGAGCACAGCTTGTTGCCACTGTAGTGAGCTTGTACGGTGGATACATTAAGTACTGTTGTTTTCTGTGTAAACGGAATAACTGTGCACGAGATCCAGGTAGGACTGGCAACCTTGTCAGTTATGGGAGGTTAGAATGAACAATGTTCAACATCCAGTCATCGCTGAACCAAACAAAATTTTGTTATCACCGCTACATATAAAACTTTGGCTCATGACGAACTTTGTAAAAGCTATAAACAATTCCCGTCAAGCAGTCAGGTAGTTCAGAACAAAATTTCCCTGGCTAAGAAGAGGAATCTTTATCGGTCCCCAGATTTGTGTGCTTCTTAAAGATGGCGACATTGAAGCAGCCCTTCATGGAGGAAAGAAAGATGTCTAGGAAGCATTCAAGTTAGTGATAGAGGAATTTCTGGGGAACCGAAGGGAAGAAGGCTATGAAGAATTTAACTCATCAATGTTCACAAGGTCTTGGGATGTAATAAGTCACATGAAATCCGCTTTTTGAACTCGTATTTAGACTTTTTTTCAGGGAATCGCTGCATGGTCAATGACGAACACGCTGAAAATTTTCATCAAGATATTTCAGCCATGGAAGTGCGCTTTCAAGGTGAATGGAATACAACGACTCTTGCAGACCACTGCTGGTCATTGGCGAGAGATGCTTCTTCAGCCGAATAAACGCGTCTAGCCAAAATGAAGAAGGTGGATGATCAACAAAACACAGCATAGTGTGCATTGTAATAAAACATTCAAATATCACTTGTTTCGCATATCCTTACAACTATAAACATTGCACTTTCAGAATTCTCAAAATATCATTTGGATGAAATGTATAGATCAAAATATGAAAGATGCACATGTGGGAAATGCAACATATTTGTTGCATATTCAGATAAAATGCATGCTAATAGCCAAAACAAAGGCATTATTTGAAAGCTGAGAAAATGTAACAAAGAATGTTATCTGCGAATATTATCTTTCAGGAATGTGAGAACGCACCGAAGAAGGACACGTATAAAAGATGGCTATTGTATGGACGAGGGAGGCATCGAAATCATCGAAGGATCAAATCATCTAGCTACCAGTCGTAATCTACATTGCTTTACAGTCGTGTACTCCCATGTATGGGAGAGTTTATAATTGCTGATACTATTGAAATATTGTGAAAATTGAATTGTATTCGTGTAATTGTCAAGTTATCATATCCACCGACGATAAATTATTATATTCATATTCGTATTTCACAGCAAGCCATTAAATTATTACGGAACATTAACTGGTAACAGCGAGTGGTTGCGTCACGCTGTTTCGTTGAAAAAGTGAAAAACCCCAAGTCAAGTATTGTCAAATTTTATTTTCAGTTAAATATCACTACCATTAATAGCGAATAGTAATCAAGCAATTTCAAACTTCATACTATTAATAATAACGACTGGGATTTATATTCAAACGCTGTAGCGGATCAGACTCAATAAAGAAAAACGCCGTAGCGAGGAGCAACTAGTGAAGGTAAGTGTATTATTCTGCATGATGAATTCATTATTCAATATTAAATTAAACAGTGATGAACAAATAATCACTAAGGACATATTCTACAATCTACTGACAAAATTGCAAACATTTGGGCAAACTGTGCAAAGAGATATTAGATCAGTAGTAAGAGACCATACTAATCAACCCACTATCAATGCTAGGTGGTGTAGAGAAATTAACGACGCATTTAAACTAGTGTCTGAGAAAATAGATGTAATTAATGACTCATTGCGCATTAAATCCGATCCTCTTGAAGTAGTCTTGTCTGATAATGATGATCTTCTTAGTGACTCATCTCATCATGATGACTCCTTGTCTCCTTCTACAGTCAACACTCTGTCTTCTGATTTCCATGTTGGAGCTATTAGAATTTCGGCCTTCAGATGCGAAGTTGATATGCCATGCTCTATCTGGCTTAGAAAATTTAATGACTTTGCTGACGCGCAAGCCACACCTTGGACTGCGACTCAAAAGGCGCAAAAAATCAAATTCTTTTTCGATGGCTCTCCACGAGAGGAGTATGAAACCTTTGACAGTGTGACTAAGAATGATTTCAACTTAGTCATCCAGAGACTTAGAGATCTCTTCGAATCACCCAAAATGCGCAATATCGCTCGCCAAAATCTACTAATGTGCAGACAAAATCATGGTGAAAGCGTTAATGCATTCACAGAGCGATTAAGACAGGCGGTACGCGCTGCCACTGTTGGACTAAGTGAGAATACATTTAAAGACAGTCTCATGGATCATTTCTTAGATCGTCTTCTTCCCGATATCTCATTCCATGTTAAGGCTTCTGTCGCGATTAGTAATCACGAAAAATGAATTCAAAATACGAAAAGAAATGATTCATGAAAGTTAAAACGTTCTCATGAAAATCTTAAAAGACGAAACAAAAGGCAAGATAAGTAATGTGACAAGAAGGGAAGCAAAAATGTAAGCTATAACGTTAAATGTAGCAAAATATAATGATCATATCTTTCCAATGTAAGGCATCGAATCGCTGAATCCGTTTCACTTTATTATTTTGTTATTTTGCTGAATTCACTTTATTATTTTGCTGAATCCGTTTCACTTTATATTTTTGTTATTATCATAAGTTATTTTACTTGTTTTTTAGCCTTAGTTTAGGGACACTACGTATTCTGACTTGTATCGTTGGACAAGGAATTGCCCTACTTGTCAAATGCGGCATGATCCCAAGCCGTATCCACGGATACCCCTTAATCCGGTTACCAGCAAGGCTATTATGAATAACATGGGCCTTGATCTCTGTGGACCATTCAAAACTACTGCAAGCAATAATAAATACATACTGAATATAATCTGCCTGTTCAGTAAGTATGTTATTAGTGTACCAGTGCCAGATGCCAGAGCTACTACCTTACTTTAGCAAAAGCCTTGTTACATCATTATATCTTGATCTATGGTTCACCTAATCAATTGACAACTGACAATGCGACGTCATTTACATCCACATTCTTTAAAAAATTTTGTAACTTATTATACATTAATAAGCGATACTCAACACCGTACCACTCAACTGGTAACGGAACAGTCGAAAGATCATTTAGAACATTTCAAAATATGCTATTTAAATATGTCTCGAACGAAGTCAACGACTTCGATGAATTTATGGCGTTCTGTTACAACATCTCAATGAATGAGATGACAGGGGAAAGTCCTTTCTTTTTAATGTTCGGACGCGATTCCTGTTTCTCTATAGAAAGTGTGTTCAAATCAATTGTGCATGAGAGTAATCCTGACACCGACATTGCAGAGTTCAAAACCAATCTTGTTGACTCTTTACGTCGAGCCTGGAATATAGTCTACGAATACAATTATAAAGCACAGGATAGGATGCAAGCTACGTACGATAAGAATACTCGAGACACACCACTTAGAGTAGGGGACTGTGTCTTGTTACGATGCTACGTATTGAAACTAGGAGATTCTAAGAAATTCCACCTACCATGGACTGGAGTATACAGAATAATTGATATCACCATTCCTCATGCCATCATTGTCAATTGTTCTGCACCGCATGCCAACCCCTTCAGAGTACATTTGGACCAAATTAAAAAGTATACCAACATTGAAGGTCCTGCTTATACCTTGCCCACCATTAGGGAAGAAGAGCGCAGTAAACTAAAAGATGCGAAGGCAGAAGAGCAGCTAAATATTCCTGGTTATTCATTCGAGCAACCTAACGCACCAATGCAGGAAATTGCCCCACCAGAACACCATTATAACTTAAGATCTAGACACTCGAATAATACTTCATTACTTAGCTGATATAAACCTTACCTCTAAATTACAGGAACACGTGCAAAGTCGACATGCGACGATTACCCCGGGAATCGGGGCCACCGGACCGTGCGGACGAAGATCTGCCACCTGGGAATCCCCGCCTCGAGCCCATTGGACGCCGACGTGGTCATCCAGTCACCTCGGAATCTTCTTCCGACAGCCCTATGGGGCGCCGTACTCTTTTTCCTCCTAACCGTCCTAGTGGACAACATAATTCGGCCATGAGTCGAGCTCAATCGAGTCGAACTCAATCCAGTTTCTCTCAAACGAGTCGAGTCGGTCAGGACTCCTCAACTAGCAGCCCTGTTGGGCGAAGTACTCGTGGTTTTACCAACCGTCAATCTTCAAGTAGACCTAAGGCATCTAGAGGACCAATTGGTACCTTTAGTCCGGCCATATCTTACTCAGAAGCGATCACACTGCGTGAACCAGCCGTATACGTCGTGTCGCAGGTATTGAAGAATACTGTGAAGCTTCTCCTAGAACCGAATCAGAGTCAAACCATTCTGAACAACTCACCAGCCATCATGCCCTTTGATGACACGACAGAATTCTATAATGATAACGGTGACCTGATCAATACCGGCTACGAAAGACAACAAATTTTCGCGTTTGACGAATACTTGGTGGATACTTATCGTCAGGCACTGAAACAAGGAGTACAGCTGCCATTCCAACAATATCGGGCGGCACGGCACATATCTTCAATATGTTGCTAAATGATAAAATAATATCCAACGTCCTGGCGGTGTCGGCACAACGTCTCCAGACAGGCAGCAGGATCCACCATACGATTTGTGCCATAAATTTCACCAACCTTAAGGACGCTGTCGTGCAAAAGGTATGACTCACACCGTCATAATTTTCGCACGAATATCGAAAAGATCGGAGAAGCTGATAAAGACGTCAGATGTGATAAAAGCCAGCTAAGAAGATTATAACCCAAACATCGCCCCAACCCTTGAGAAAGGGGTGGGATTCTTAGATAATCGAAACGTGTAAAAGAGCGAGCTGTTGTATACAGTTCATTCTGGAAATTCACCCAATCGGCCAATATTCAAAGAGGCTCTGTCTCACCATATATTCAGAGAGGCCCTGCCTCACCATATATTCAGAGAGGCTCTGCCTCACAATATATTCAGGGAGATTAACCTCCCAATTCGAAGAAGTATTCGACGGACCGCCAGCACCGAGTTACCGGTACGATACGACGACCTATCAACGTCAACGTCATTGTGATCAGTGATATTCATTGCCCGTTTATATTATATTGTATTGTATTGAGCGAAGTAGTCTAGGTCCCCAGTTTCAAAAAGGGCCACTCATCCCCGGACCTGCATTCCCCACTGTAGCCACCCGACCCCCGTTCGGATTACGTTACATTACGTTACAGACGCATCGGCAGTCCGTAGAGGACCCCGATTCCAGACCCTCTACACTGTCCGATATGTACCTAACTTGGCCACGGCTGCGGATTATCAAATCCATCAAAGCATCGGAAGGGGCACTAATGATTGCGTCACACGCTATTGTCCCAGTCGGATCTCAAGTCACCAAGAGCTTCGTAATTCCGCGTGGATACCGGGAAGACCCAAAATCACGCCGGATTACCGAACCCGAATCCGAGTGCAGTCTCACTCAATTAAGCAGGGTCGATCCAAACGATCCAGCAATCCAGCTCGATCCCTTCTTACCCGAAACGGTGGGATCGCCAGACGCTATTCCGGATGTAGCTCGGCGACACGAGGACGCACTGCTCGCTGCTGCGTCGCTCATACGCTACCGCACAAAGATAGCAATGGAGCGCTCGGCATTCGACAGCAACCAGTACATTCTGACCCGCCGAGGTCTTCGTGTCTAACATGCAGTAGTTGCTGATCCACGAATCGTGACGTTGCGAGCGAAAGTCTGAGAGGATGACACCCGAATGCTGATACTACCTAGTAAAGACCTACTGGTAGAACGGCTGCCAGGTATGGCGGCGCCCTCTTATTCCGGAACACATGGTGAGCTACAAGATGTGAAGATTGATGAATTTGGCAACCTGACGGGAAACACGTATATCGAGGAAGGAGCTTTCACGGACTTGAAAGAAAGGGCACCCTGGATAGTCAAACAGGAACGCTCGTTGTACATACTCCCTGACACGAGCCGGACAGGCCTGGAGTTCAGAATAGCTCAACTGCAAGCCCGACAGCTTTCGCACTCCATCACTACTAATGATCCGCAACCAAAACACGCGATCATAAAGGCCTTGTTGGGCGTAGGAAATCAGATTATGTTACAAGAAGACGATAGCACGATTCTCACGGAATCACTAAATGAATGCCAGAAAAGAGTGCTGAAATGTTTGAAAGGAAGTACTCCAGTAGTGTTCCAACAAGCACCTGCTGGCACAGGGAAGACATTCGTGATCGCAGCTTACATCAAAGAACGGCTGCAAAACATGTCTGACCCTGGAATTATGTTAGTCACCGCACCTACAAATGCAGCAGTGGCTAATCTCGCAGATGCTATTTTAAGCCTCATGCCAGGTTTGGCGCGGCAAACTTTACTTTTTATTCATTCATTTATGGCTGAAAAGAGAGCGGAACATGCACCTGTACCTCGAGATGAGTATCGGTTACCAGAAATCCTGGAAGATGCTGTGCGTCGTAATCTGATTATAGATCCCTCAGAACTACGGTTTGCGGAACGATACGTCCAAAGACGCATCAAACACGATGGTCGACCCGACCGTGAAGATAGAGCGCTTAAAATGGTGTTGGCACTTGGAAAGAAGCTGCCGTGGTGATCCTGGTCACCACCAGAGTTATCTCTGACCAGGCTACCGACGATACGACGCGCTTCTTTCTCGACGAGCAGCGTATCACTGTCGCGCTATCAAGGGCCCAAGATGGCCTCATCATTATTGGTGACATTCTATCCTTAATCAGGTCACGTTTCTGGAAAACGTATCTGAGCGAGGTAGTTAAGGACAGTCCCATCGTGGACATTCGCTACATCGACCTTTTCAAGACAGACGAATTCGCGCGAGCTCCAAACGGACTTCTCCTGGACTCGGACGGATGTGTCATCACGTCACCGGTCACCTCGGAACTCATCGACAAGTGGCTCGAGGATGCCGACATGCCATCGGACAAGTAAACAGCCTCGAGGTATGGCACCCTCACTACTTCCTATCTTTCACAGACCAGAGACGGTCTTGTGCCAAGGAAGGGAGGTACAGGCTATATACTGACCATATCATATGGTAAAAGTTCAAAGCATTCAAAATTTTTTAATTAACTAATTAATTAATTAATCAACTAAAGACCAGAGTCTGTCTTTGCAAAAAAGGAGAGGTGTAAACATTGCACTTTTCGAATTCCCAAAATATGCAGTGAAAGGATCAGATCAAAAGATAAATGCATGAGAAAGGCAACATCTTTGTTGCATATTTGTTGCATTCTCGTTATTGCATGAAAAGATACATACCCAGCTAAAATGCATGCCTACAGTCAAAACAAAGGCATTATCTGAAAGCTAAAAGCATTAGCAGATGACCTTATCTACTAATACCAACTTGCAGGAACATGGGAAAGCACGAACAAAGGATCGGCTTAAAAAACGAGAAGAAGAAGACTCAAGGGGAAGTTCATATCTACGCGCGTGCAGACCGTTGGACAGGTCGAAGCTATATTGAAATCGTACGAATTATACTGAAATTGTGAAAAAGCCATTGATTGGCATCTGCCTTGGTTAATTGAATTATTATTGGAATTATTTTTGGATTTATCATCAATCGTCTGATTACTATAAGAGTTGCTGATCGGCCACTTCCTTGGTTTTGTGAATGTAATTGAGAATTCGATAATATTCAATAAATTGTGTTCTAATACTATTTTCGATCCACCACATACCAACAAAATTTCAACTCTATAAAGTTTTCATCATGACTATATACATGGCCGAAAATTTAAATAAGATCTTATGGCCGTTTGTGATGCACTGCATTGTTGATGCGGCAGGCCTAGTGCCAGATACCCAATTGTATAGCTTGATAACATCCCTGGAGGAGTTGCAGCAGCTTTTCCTAACTGGAGACGTCAAGCAATTGCCAACATATAAGGCAAGTGTATTAGATGACATCTTGCCATACGGATTTATGGGCGCCGTACAGACCATCATGCGTCGCCAAAAATCCCGACAATCGCCCTGGAAATGAGTTACAGATCACATCCATTACTCATACGGTGCCCATCGGCGATGTCATATGACAACACCCTGACGGCGACAGTCAAGGAGGGCGCACGGACGAAGATGCTGTCATCATCTTTGCCACTACCTGTGGAGGGTAAACCAATCCTGGTACTTCATATTACTGCAGGTGACGACATTAACTTCTTGATGTCACGCTACAATGATTCCCAGGAATTTGCCGTTCGACTCATCACGACACATCTATTGGAAAAGCTGAGGCCGGAAGATATAGTCATCTTGTGCCTCTACACAACAACCCGCGATGCGCTGAGACAGGCACTAGCCGAAGAGGAAGTTAAAGTGCACACAGTCGATGGGTTCCAAGGCAAGGAAGCCCCCATTGTCATATTGGTCACGACGAGAGTACTAACGGGTCAAGTAGCTGAAGAATCGACACGATTCTTCCTGGATCAACAGCGCCTGACTGTAGCACTTTCCCGTGCGAAGGACGGTGTCTCGTATTGCGAGAAGACAAAACATTTTTTTTTGCTAATCTCGAAATCTTTGCTGATCCGTTATCACCGTTCGAAATGCTTCGATAGACAAAACAATCACATTCCTGTCCGTGGGAATTGCACTGATTCTTCCGCTGAATCTCAGTATAAAAGAAGGGTTGATTCGACTCTGTTTCATGGTCCTTGTTTTCATTCTTATTCCTATTCGTATTCTTCTGCGTAGAGACAAACGTCTCAAAAGACTACGTTGAGACAAACGTCTCTAAAGACTACGTTGAGACAAGCGTCTCTAAAGAATACGTAGAGACAAACGGTCTCTAAATCTATTGTGGAGGCAAAAGTCTCCAAACGTTTCGTGGAGGCAAAAGTCTCCAAAGGAATCGCACAAGCGAGTCAACTACCGTATCATCACACTGCTCAACCGCATCGACATCGTAATTAATCTTGTGATCGATATTGTGATCACATTTGTAACCTAACATATTGTTGTACTAACAAACCCCCCCTTCGTTCAAATTGCCGTAAGGATTTGTTACAGACGGACTCGTCATCATCGGTGACGTCCAATCATTACTCCTTTCGCCTGCCTGGAAAACGTACTTGGGCGAGGTGACCAAAGAGACGCCCGTCGTCGACAACCGATACATGGATGTATTACGACTCGGACCTCTCAGACGATCTCCGAACGGCGTGCTCTTAGACGTCGATGGCCGCAGTGTCGCAGCACCGATCACAACGAAAAGCTCCGATCGTTTGATCGATGACGAGCTCATGTGGTCAGAATGAGCAACAGGCCAGGTAGGCGGCGTAATTATTTTATCAAAACCTTCAAGACCAGAGACGATCTTCGAAAAGGGAAGGGAGGTACAAGCCACACAGCAAATTATATAACAACTGTCCGAGCAACGCAAAAAAATCAATTAATTAAGCCAATTAACTAATTAATTAATTAAAGCCCAGAGTCGGTTTTGGCGGAAAAGGGAGGTGTAAACATTGCACTTTCAGAATTCTCAAAATATCATTTGGATGAAATGTATAGATCAAAATATGAAAGATGCACATGTGGGAAATGCAACATATTTGTTGCATATTCAGATAAAATGCATGCTAATAGCCAAAACAAAGGCATTATTTGAAAGCTGAGAAAATGTAACAAAGAATGTTATCTGCGAATATTATCTTTCAGGAATGTGAGAACGCACCGAAGAAGGACGCGTATAAAAGATGGCTATTGTATGGACGAGGGAGGCATCGAAATCATCGAAGGATCAAATCATCTAGCTACCAGTCGTAATCTACATTGCTCTGCAGTCATGTACTCCCATGTATGGGAGAGTTTATAATTGCTGATACTATTGAAATATTGTGATCATCAAATTGTAATTAATGCTTCTACTAATTGCAATATCAAATATATTACCCACGTTTGGGCCTTTACATGTTATTGTACGAGGTTAAATATAATCGTGATTATATATTGAAATATTGTGAAAATTGAATTGTATTCTGAAGGATCATGTTGTGATAAACCGGTGATCTTTTGTTTATTGTTTACGGTTTCTTGTATGTCTCTCTATAGTGCTTTGCATATCATGTGTTCTCTGACCACCATTGGCAACTCGTAACCATTGTTTCGTAATCAGCTAATCTCAATGACTATATAAGTAGCTCAGTGTAGTTATATCAGTTCTCTGTATTAGTCAGTTGGTGTGTTGCTCGTATATTTAGTGTTGTTGTTGTTTATGAGCCATCATCGACATCTCTCGTCACTCAACCATCTTCACTGTATTGAACCGTTATTATCGTCTTCATTTATTGTGTGGATAAACTAAATTATTAATCGTCGCTTTCGCACCAGCAAAACAGTCAACATCACAAACATATTCGTGTAATTGTATCAAGTTATCATATCCACCGACGATAAATTATCATATTCATATTCTTATTTCGTAGCAAGCCATTAAATTATTACGGAACATTAACTCAACCACAACTTTCGCGATATGAATATTCTAGACAAAAATAAGCCTTAGAAAAAGTAATATGATTCCACCGCAGTTCCCATAATTTGTATGACCTAAACGTTGATCAAAAATTCATCTGAAACCTTTGGAAGAAAAATTAGTCGTGGAATAAAAATTGAAAAATCGAACGAAGAATTCAAAATCCACCTTTCATCTTGCACCACCCAACCACTGCTGCTGCAGTGACCGCTCGCTTTTCATCAGGGTCCACATCCGCTATGCCACCAAGTCGTATAGATTAGATCAAATCGATGTTGTAGGCAAAAATAGACTCCGAAAAGTTAATCATCACTGCACAGCCCTCTCCTCACAATATTTTCCCAATCCTTGCGACAGAACGTTCCATAATCATGGTTATTCGGTACGAACGTTTCATTCTTCAATAGCGATTGAGGAAACACTATTCAAAAATCTTCATAGTGCAAATTGTTTCGTATTGCCCACTTCTGTACTATATTTGCAAAGATAATAAGCATCTTTTTTGACAATATGCATAAGCTACTCTATTCACACATTTTACTCTTATAAAAGCAAAAAGGAAGATATTTCTGTTTGCATGTAACACATTTGAAACAGTACATAAAGATATACATTTACATACTTACGTAGAAGAATAAAAGCTTCAAAATAACATATTTTCACTCTAAGAAACCAATAATAGCATACATTCTGCGTACAAGGCGCTATTTTCCTGTTCTTCCGCGAAAAGCACTCTTCGATGTAGTGCTTTTATTCTCAGCCCAGAAGATTCAATGACTCGAATCTCTTTCTCAGCCGAGCACTATACCCTAACTTATTCTATATGGTTCTTTTTTTTTCTTACTAACAGTAATTCGTGTTAACGTCACATAAATCAAAGAAATTCCTGGTGCACAATTATACATGGTATTGCGTTTATGAGCTAACATTTTCTGCTATAGGTTTTCTAATTGCAAGCAAACTTAACAGATACGGTTGGTCCGTTCATTGCTTTCAACTGAAACATGTCAGGACTATCGTTTAAACGACGTTCGATAAATACTTTCATCTTGAGAATACCAACTGAATAAGATACGAAGAATGTACTTTATTTTAGCTTGAAAAAACAATAATGATAGCGGTATACGTAAACAATAACGGTAAAACAATAACGTTATATAAGTCTAATGCAGATTTTATTCACGTGTGTCATCGTCCTAATTTCAGATTTTTTTTCACATCGGCATCTGTACATTGAGAAGAATAAAAAAGTCTTTATTTAAAATCGATAGATAAGGAAGAGGAAAACCGCTGAAAGCAGCACAGTAAAATCGAAGAAAAAACAAAACCAAATAAGGAAACATGAAATGCAACGGACAAAATAAAGGAACCAAATAAAAAAAGTGATGTGAAATAAAGCAATGATGCCAAACACAACCCTAATAATGGCAACAGTGGTAGTGCTTTTGAAAAATTAAGGCTGACGCAAACGACAAAAACAGCATTAACATCAATAAGTCCTTCACAGAAACAGCACCGAAAATAATTCGGATCGCAAAAATGGTAAAACAGCGAAGAAATAACGATGATGACAAGCCGTCAGCGGAATACGGCAAGAAAAACACCACTAAGCCTCAAACAATGACCAATTGACTCACGATGATCAAGCAAGAAGTTCATCAGGCACTGCACTGTAGAACTCTCTCTAATACATGGTTCTATGTACGTGAACGAAGCCACAGGTGAAACAAGAAATTTTAGTGCAGCTTAGAAGTAATAAAAACGAAATGTGCATTATTGACATTTCAAGTGAGCACAGTTTTGCGATTACTTCGTAACCCATACACTACTTCAAAATTACTAGATACTGGCTGGCTCTTTTGTATCATTGTGGTGGTGTCATCAAAGAACTGAAAGCTCCGGTTCGTGTAGTTTGTGCATAACATGTAGTTTCTGCCTGTAGTTTCTGCATAACATGTAGTTTCTGCATGTAGTTTCTGCATAACATGTAGTTTCTGCATGTAGTTTCTGCATAACCATTTGAGAGAATGATTCTGGAAGGTTGTAAACTAAAAAGGTTGAGGTTAAAGGCAAAATTAATGTTCAGCAACATAAAATGAGTATCAGTAAGCTTCAAATCGTTTGTACAACATTCCAAGTTAATCATTTATATGCATTATGGAGACACTTGAATTTTGTTAACAAAGCGATGTTTTTTGCAAGTTACTAAGCAGGTCATCAAAAAAGTTAACAATTCCACTCTGTATATCGTTCATCGATATGAAAACGCTTTCCACACAAAGAATGTTATATGTAGATAGGAAAGGAAAATTTTGATTGCATGGAATGTAAATCGTTATCGCTAATTGATTATTGAATTACAGACAAATGATTTTATGGCTCATACTTGTGCAGTTGTCAACATGAATGTAAGAAGTGTTACTTACACTTCTTACACTTGACTAACGTTGAAACTCGATTGAGTGTAAACTCAATCGAGCTTCAACGTTAGTCAAGTGATCTTATTTTTTAACGAGATGAATGACTTCCTTGTCTTTTACCGCATCCCCAAGAAATTTCCGCAAGTTTCTATGCCTCAGTACTGAAATTATTCTCGAAATAATTAAACCCACAAGCTGTCAACGATTGTATCCTTAATTTGTCGATAACTGCGATGTATCACTATTCAGTTTAGAAAAACAAAAACATTTACAGGTTTCGTCATTCATGTTGACAACTGCACAAGTATGAGCCATAAAATCATTTGTCTGTAATTCAATAATCAATTAGCGATAACGATTTACATTCCATGCAATCAAAATTTTCCTTTCCTAGCTACATATAACATTCTTTCTCAATCAACATAATACAGCGATCTGACATGTAGGTATACTGAACGGCTTAAGTACACTAGCTGGATAAAAATGCTTGCATATCATCTTTTTTTCGACAACTGATAACATAACTGTTCAAACAAAAGCAGTCATAAAGAATATAGGCACTTAAAGCGCTGAAAAAATTCCCAAATGCAAACATCATCGTTAAATATCAGTTCTGCCTTGGTAAGTGATCATTGTTTTTGATTATTCATTTGTAGTCCATTCGATCAGACTTTCGATCACTTTAAGTGTTGTTATTCGGTAACAACGTTTCACTGTTCAACAGCGATAGAGGAAACACTATTCAAAAATCTTCATAGTGCAAATTGTTTCGAATTGCCCATTTCTTTCACTCTTTTCCTAAACAGTTCCTCCTCTGAATTAAAGCATTGGAGTGAAACTTGTCCTTTTTCTCATAGATCTCCCTCCTCTGCAAGATCTTATTCAAAAAAAAAACGATCATGCTTATCGTTAGACTCGCAATTTAATGCCGCAATAGGCTAGATACGGCTCTCCAAAGTGAGCTGAACGTCTGATGTATGTGGCTATTAAATGGTTGAACTGCGGTAGAGGCAAATGAAAGGTTATTCAAGCTTAAACTTAAATAAACTTAGATTTCAGCTACCTATTTCCAGTATTATTTTGGTTCCACAATCCAATCTGTGAGACCAAAAGTTAAAATTTATTATGAAGTGTTGCAAACGGGAAAAGCCTGAAACGTAAGTTTCCATTGCGACTGTCACTAATTTAAGTTTTTATTCCACGAAATAATTATTCTATCTATATCGCTCTATACTGCACATTTGTTTGAACAATTCATGCTTGTCTTTTCTTTCTGACCTTCTCAAAACTAAAACAATTATCGATTCCCAGTTGAATTTTTCTTGCTATTACTGTTGCTATTCAAAATCCTAATCTGCGAATACCACCTTTCACTTTTCACGATCATGCAGATATTGTATTGAGTTTTCTTGAATGGTAAATTTCCAGGGAGGAAAAGCAAGCAGAAGAACCTCCCCCTCCGAAAGCATCTTTGAGAGAGTTGGTAGGTTGGAATTTACTTTTCACTCAGTTAAATCCGTCACCATTTATCGATCACTTGCAATTGAACGGAACTAATTGTAAGAGTGTGATTATTCCTTATATTGGCTCGCAGAATGTTCATATCAGCTTTTTGAAGTGCACAAAAGTTGTGTTTCAGTTCCGTTATTCATCGAGTTGTGACCGCTTCTTGCTTACAATCGGTTCCATTGTAGCGATCGGAACAGGATGTGGCCTTCCTCTTCTTTCGATATTCATTGGCAATATGTCGCAGTCGTTTGTTGATGCTCAAACACTTTTTTATAGCGGTGACTTTCAACTGTTCATTGTTTCATTGTTCAACACTGAAACCTTCTTCTTACTGCATCCGTAATTTTCTTCTCAAAAAGCCATTTCAAATCAACATCTGATGATACAATCTTCGAGGAGACACTTTACACTTTGAAGGTTGGAGGACACATTTATGAAAGGTTTTGAAGAATTCATACGTTTTCGACGTATTTCATCTGCAGGTTATAGACCTCAAGACACCGCCAATATAACACGCTTTCACAATGTAAGTTTACCACCAAAATTGGCAAACTACACGTGGAATATGTTTACGGAACAGGTTGTTGCGTATTGCCTTCAATACGTTTACACAGGAATTGCAGTGCTTTGCGTTGCTGCCATACAAGTAATAATTTTGGAATGGCTTGATTTTCGTACAAATTGAATATCCTCATTTGGAACTGAAATATTTTTAAGAAATTTTCATGAGATACAAATGCTTGTTATGATAAACACTAATTCAGTCATTTCCGGTTGGTAGTTAATATTCCAGTCACATTCTAACCCATATCTATCAATAACAGTCATCAGTTGAAACAAACTGTATTTACATCAAACACATTAATTATTGAATGCGAGAAACTGTTATTCTTGAAGTGATACTCTGATAATGCAAGCAATAAAGTAAGTGGAGTAAACAAGAGAATGGTACAGAATAAGAAAATTGAACAGAACATAGAGTTACGAAAAAGAATGTTAGAGCAACAGTGAATAAAGCTCGATAAATGAAAGTTTCTTGTAGAATTTTTGCATACTATGTTGTAGGTGTCATGTTACTTGGTAGCTTGTGAGAGCATGAACCACCGTATAAGATGTGAATTCTTCAAAGCAGTCGTTCGTCAAAATATTGCATGGTTTGATGAAAACCAAGCCGGATCACTTACGCCGAAGCTTTTCGAGTTAGTAACAAATTTCACTTGTTGTGAATTCAACACCCTTGAAAATCGGTTAAAAAAATGTTTCCGTAGCCAGGACACTACATCAAAACACCATATGCGTTCATATAATTCCTACAATTTCCATACGTACTCGCTTTAAAATGACCTATCATGAAATGTTAAAATGATTCGAATGAAATTACTACAAATTTCAGTGACAGTGGGTAGAATTTGATTCATTGAACGCAAAGTATTTGCTGTAACTTTGATTACTAAATAGAATTGCATTCAAGACATTGTTAGCCGATATAGTTGTATCTGAGAGTAGTGTTCGTTGGGGAGCAATTTTTTAGCCGGAGGGGGGGGGGGGGATCCCGAACAAAAGGTCGGGGAGCAAAATTATCGGGCAGAGGGTGACCCCGTCGAGGAATGATTGCATTGGGAAATCTCTGTCGAGAAGGACGTAGAGCATTTCAACTTAATTGTAAATAAAATTTACCCTCTCGATGTGCAATTCTGGAAGTACAGAGTATGCAGAGTGTGACGAACGATAAAAAGTGAGAATGCATTGTAAAAATGGGGAATATGGTAAAGCTCAAACAGATCGGACAAAGATTTTCATTGTCAGATCAAACGTTCAATTCAGGGAATTTTTGGTTCACTTTTGCATCGGCAATCCGCGAACATCATTCTCCCTCACTTCAGATCTTCTACTGCAGTGGTCCTTAGCCTTTTTTCTCGCACCTTAAAAATTTTTAACTGTCTTAAAAAATTTTCAATAAATCATACAGCTGGAATTCCGACCGAATGTCGGAATTGTTCGGTCTGAGTTCAACCAAACAATGTCAACATTTCGGCATTCGGAATCCCGACCAATCTTCCAAATTGTTCGGTCGAAATCCGAATGTTGGAATTCCGACCGAAATTTGTCGAATACCATCACTAGTGTACAATGCGTTTTAACATTTGAAAAAATATATACGTTAAAGTGCACCCCTTTCATCATACGTACTGTCATACAGATGTTAAAATGCGTTGAAATCCACCTTCGTCAACTTTAAAAAGTGAAATGCTATCTCACACCCCCTGGAATAATACGTCGCACCCCCAAAGGATTCGAACTTAGAATTGGCTCAGCTCTCGAGCAGTGAAAATTTAGAGGTGAAGATTGAGACTTCTTCATCGATCCGCGCAGATCATTCAGCAAATTCTGAATTCAATGAACTGAAATGCACAAAGCATGCTGATAAATACCGAGGAATTTTGAGACTATGATTTCAGTAATTTGGAACGAATCAAAGAAGGTACAGGTGATAAAGTGGCATTATTAATTCAGTTCATAAGTCAGTTTTTTGCTGGGTTCATCGTTGCGTTTGTTTACGATTGGCGTTTAACGCTCATTATGATGTCGTTATCACCATTCATGGTTATTTGCGGCGCTTTTCTCGCAAAAGTTAGTTTTGATGAATGCTTATTATGCTTACTGTGGAAGTTTTTCGACACTGGCGAGTCATCAAAACAAGTAAAATAGCACATTTGGAGTCCACCTTGGGAGTTATATAGTTCAAGAAGTAAATTTATTTCGGAACAGTGAATAAAAATACGAAGTGGGATTTCACATCGTTGATAGAAAGCAAAAAATAGTAGAACTGATTAGCTGTTATCATTCCTTTTATTGGATCTGATGGAAGAATAGCACTGAACCCTTTTATGATACTTTCTGCGATATCTCTTAAACTTCTAAATTTTCTCAATAGTTGATGGCGTCGGCAACTGCGAAGGAGAGCGAGAACTACGCAGTGGCTGGCGGGATTGCAGAAGAGGTGATAACATCTATTCGAACTGTTGATGCATTTAACGGACAGCAATTGGAGTGTGATAGGTTGTGTTCATTTTTTTTTTGTGTTCATTAATTATAAAACCATAACAATTGATATTGTCAAGAAAGTGGCTCTATGGCTCTACAAGGATCTATGCAGTGATTGAATGATTGTTAACTTTCATCAGGTTGTGGCCACATTCGAAATAGATCGATAAATTCTCATCAGTACTGATAATAAACCGTTGCACACTATCTTAAGATACATCTCAGTAACAAAACTTATGGAATGAATTAGGACGATGACCAAATGAAAATTGAGTTCGAATGAATTCGGAATCCAAGCGACCGGACTTTTTAAGGTTCCGAAATTCGTTATTCTAATGGAAATTTAAAATTATCGTTCAGATTCCAAAAATTAGAATCAAAACGAATTTCATCGGGTTTTATGGACCGCACTTTGTCCGATTATCATCGTGGAATGAATTCTTTTTCAGATACAACAACGCACTAAAAGGTAGTATGAAAACTGGGATTCTGAAAGCTTTCTATGTGGGCCTCGGACTCGCGATGACCTTCTTAGTACTCTTCAGCTCGTACACACTCGCATTCTGGGTCGGGACTGATTATGTTTATGAAGATGCGATCACTCCAGGAACGATGCTTACGGTGAGTGATTGTTACGTTCCTCCAGACTAGGCCAGCTAGTTACACAACTGAATTGTGAAGTTCAGGTATTCTTTGGTGTAATGATGGGCTCTATGGCACTAGGACAAGCCGGACCGCAGTTCGCTGTTTTGGGTGCAGCGCAAGGAGCAGCAGGCACCATATTTGAGATCATTGATCGAGTAAGTGTTTGAAAATGGCTTGTTAGTTAGTCGTTCGCTTGGAATGAGAAATATTCTCGTTTCATAGTAGCAGGTCTCATTTGATTCACTGAGAATTTTTTTTCGTGCTTGAAATGATCGCATCATCTCCCATATAGAATGGTACACAAACTAGTAAGATCAGATTCTGCATCAACACCAACTAAACTCTCACAAATTCTTTGAAGCTTCCGTACTTCATGTTATGAGTACTATTAATCATATCTTTTGCCGAATATTTATCGACATTACCAGAGAAGTCTATTCCTTGTGATCAAAAAGACGTTTTGAAAACATTATTGAATAGTGGATATACAGAAAAAAATTCAATTAACATGAAATTGCTAGTCTTCTCATTTTCTCGTGGTATCTTCCAATTTCACCGAAGATGAAATTTTACCACTGCTTCATAGGGATAATTGTAGTGTACTACTCAAATCATTTGGCAAATTATTCGCCTATCATGAAATGGTATCAGTTTATTTGATAATATCTTCATGATTGAGGTACCTGAAATAGATGTTTATGATCAGTCGGGCTACAAACCAATACAAATAGATGGTCAAATAGAATTCAGAAATATTGAATTTTCTTATCCAACGCGACCCGATGTGAAGGTAAAAAATATCACTATCTTTATTAGCTCTTCAAAGAGTGCCGTGATATGGCCATTTCGTTTTTAGTGGTCACTTATCGAAACGCTGTCATGAGATCGTCATAGAAGCGACTTCTTATTGTCAACCGAAAATGTTATCAAAACGAAAATTCATTGTTTGATTATATCGTAACCTTATATTCAATTCAACTTCTGACTATTTCTTTCGGGTGTTGAATGGAATATCGTTCGTTGTGAACCATGGCGAGACAGTCGCAGTGGTGGGAGGAAGTGGGTGTGGTAAAAGTACTTTGGTCAGCTTACTTCTTCGATACTACAACCCATCCAGTGGAAAAGTATGTTTACTATAAGCCAGAGTCCAGTTGAGCATTCATCAAGAATATCTTCTTTTACATGGTATTTAACGAGCTGTTTGCTTGAAGATATCCAGTGAATTGAAATAATTTAAAAAAATAGAAACTGTCACCGCAAAATAAATTCACAAAATAAAATGCTTGAAGCGGGAATGAGAATTTCTTGAAATCATTTCAAGATACTGATCGATGATAATGAGATATCATCATTGAACGTTTCGTATCTGCGGCAGTCAATCGGCGTTGTTTCTCAAGAACCGGTACTGTTTAATATGACGATTAAAGAGAATATTCAAATGGGCAGTGAAGAAGTAACCGATGCACAAATGATTAATGCTTGTCGTTGTGCTAATGCTGCCGACTTCATCGATCAATTACCAAAGGTACACCTTAATGAAAGTTTGAATGTCATCATGACCAGTACAAGTACCATTTGTTTGTGTATCTCACAGAAATACGATACGCCAGTTGGTGATCGCGGTGTACAACTTTCGGGCGGTCAGAAGCAAAGAATTGCTATCGCACGTGCTCTTGTTCGCAATCCGAAAATTTTGCTTCTTGACGAAGCAACCAGTGCTCTTGATGCAGAAAGTGAAAGTGTCGTTCAGGAGGCGCTTGAGAAGGTTCTATTAGTTTCATCGATTCTAAACTCAAGTTCAAACGCATACGCTTAGTAGCTACCAGATGTAGTTACCAGCGCAAAAGATACTCTGAAGTGCTAACAAACAAAATATTTCAGTTTGAAACTAGTACTGAAGATTGAGGAATGTTTAAAACTAACTATTTTCGTTGGTGCTAATCATCCTATCTGGATATGTTCCTTAGATGAACAACTTCGAAATGGAACAAGTAGTTATAATGTACCCATATAATCAACTTGAACACGATTGAATTTTCTCTCATCTACAATCAGTCCTTAAATTGCAGGCAGCCAAGGGACGCACAACACTAGTGGTAGCTCATCGATTATCAACAATCAAGAATGCTGACAAAATAATTGTAATTCATGATGGTCGAGTAGTGGAAATGGGGACACACTATCAACTGATTGCTGCTAAGGGATATTATCACGAACTGGTCAACTCCCAAGTTTTCGTTGACATTGAGGATAACGGTAAAAAGTTTCAGAATTATTCATCTTCAAGAACTCGCTCTTCATCATTACCATTAATAGATACACCGCGGATGAATGTTACTTGAAGACAGAGGAGAAGATGGCAATCACATGGTTATTAGAACAAGAAACATTAGAGATCACAACCAACAACGAGTGATTACATCAAATCTTGTTCATTAGAAACTATTGAATTGCGAATATGAAACTTCGAAAAGAAACAAACAATAAGAATTCACTGGTGTGAGGTCACGCAACATATTTTTATGAAGAAACCTAATCACAGTATTGAATGAACTGTCCTTCTTGCAGCTCCATCGAAAATTCCCTTAAGTCGTCGTCAGTCAACAGCATCCTATCGATCACGATCGTTTTCTGTCATGACAGCAAAGAGTGGTCAGGAAACATCAAAAGTCATGTTGAGGAAAGCTTCGAGAGCTGCTACTCAAATAGGTGAAACAGAATTGAACGCAAAGAAAGAGACGGAACGATTGAAAAAAGGTGCCTGCTAAATTAATTAGTATGTTCGAGTGATCAAGTAAATCCAACTTTTGATTTGTGTTCTCCCTGATTTTTGCAACAAAACATCATTTATAGTTCTATAAGAGTGCATGATACTCTGCCTTGTTTCCAATTTGTTGCTTTCATTCAGAAATGATGGAAGAGGGTGGCACAGAATCAGGTCTCCTCGAAATTTTGAAGTATTCACGACCTGAATGGATATATATTTTGATCGGTTTACTTGTGGGTGTCATTCAAGGCTGTGTATTTCCGGCATTCTCGCTTTTCTTCAGTGAAATACTGGCTGTGAGTGTTTCGCTTGTAAGCATTCTTCTGTGAATGACCGTCGTCTTTATAAAACAAACTTCTTAACTAGTGCAATAATATTTGACTATTTGTGATGGCAACTGTAAATGAATGTTGCGTTGGGTTTATGTAGCACACCTCAAATGTGGATAAACAAGAGAACATAACATAAATCTGAATGGATGAGGTTGTGCTTTCAATTTATGTTCATTGCAGATTTTCGCAAAACCAAAAGATTCTATGCTTCATGAAGGTCATTTTTGGTCACTTATGTTTCTCGTGCTAGGTGGTATTGAAGGAATCACATTGCTTGTTCAGGTGGATGAAATTGCTGTAATTGGTGATATTTATGTTTTGGAGCAGTAGAAGTTTGTACGACAACATTTATCGAGCTCAATGCTGTAGTGATGAACGATTTTAAATGATGTTCAGTAAATGTCATAGCAGCGCTAGTTTGATAGCCGTTTAGAATTTGATATAAAGTAACTGCAGTTATACTTGCATGAACAATTTGGATCCGAACGATAAGTGCTCGAATATATTTTGCTTTCAATGAATCCGCTCATTTCAGACATTCTTTTTCGGGTTAACAGCTGAACGTTTAACGCGTCGTTTGCGATCACGCTTGTTCAGGAATATTCTACGAATGGATATGACATACTTCGATAGTCCAAATCATTCAAGTGGTAAACTGTGCACTCGTCTCGCCACCGATACACCCAATGTGAAATCGGTTAGTGCATTTACTGATTCCATTTGTAAAATTCATTTCAAACTGATTTAGACGAATTCTCATTCTTTTCAGACGTGTTCTAGTCACTCTCATAGCTAGTACATGCGAATACCGTTCTCTTGATGAGTTTTTCTCATTCATTTCGTCTCATTTCACTTCACAGTTAGAATCAATTTCTTATTCTGTAGCGTATACTATACGAATATCGTTCTCTTGATGAGTTTTTCTCATTCATTTCGTCTCATTTTGCAGTTAGAATCGATTTCTTATTCTGTAGCATATACTATTTACTGGATAGCTCGAATCAGTTTCTCATTCTGTAGCATATACTATTTATTGAATACGTTGACGAGTGTAGAATCAATTTCTTATTCTGTAGCGTACTACTTACTCCATGCGTTGACGAGTGTAGACAGCCGAGATCAACAATACAGCAATAAAATACAATGCTCAACAACAATCGACAATCAAATGATCAGTCATACAGTGTATTTGATAGAATGAGAATTTGACTTTAATTGTTGAGTGAAATGAATGAGAAATTAGCAAAACAGGACACTCTTGGTGATAAAAGCTATGAGGGTGATTGTAGCAGCAAGGAAAAGAATGAAAATCCTATTAGAACAAGCAGAAACCTTGTTAGGATCGTACGAGCTAATGATACTCAGAAACTAGGAGAATGAAGAGTGTTGCTATCAACTACCCGCATTTACATACCCGAGTTAAAAAACACCATCACAATAGCGTTCTATCATAATATAACAACTGCACGAAATACTAGTTTCCCGATCCTTTCCATTACCCCTTGACACCTCCGAATTACCCAAAATGGGTAACTTCACCCCCTCTGAGAATCACTGATATATTGTGATCTACCTTTCATATATTTTGCACATAGTGATCTACATGGTATGAGTAAATTTTTAATGAAAAAAATATAAGAATTTGTTTGCAAGAAATTTATATGAGTAAAGGATGTTATTTGTCTTTGTTCTTCGTGTCTTCATCTCGAGTTGAGAACTAGCTTCTTCGACTCTTCGGCGTCCAACACAACAACTGGACTACACAACAAGTCGACGACACGACAAGATCATAACCGAATTGATGTGATGCATGAAGCCATCGCCAAATCCTTGCACTTCAAAGAATACTGATTTCGCTACTGCGCTCGTTAAAGAATAACATTGTTCCAAGGATCAGTTCACATCATAGTCAACGAACTCGTAACACCGAAGCTCATCGAAAAAATTTCCTGGTCATCTGAGACGTCAAATTTCAGTTCGGCGCGAAAACATCACTGAGAAAGCGGTGACCAACAAAACTGGAATCTTGTTATGACAACAGATCAACAGTGATAATAGATGAACTTATAGGCTATAGATTATCGCTTGAGTGGTGTCCTAGTGTCAATAGTTTCGATCGGTTGTGGTATTGGGATTGCAGCCTACTACAGTTGGCAAATGGCATTACTTTTGATCGCCATATTTCCACTTGAAGGTGTTGGAAAAGCAGTTCATCTGAAGTACATCGAAGGACATCATAAGCAAGACGCAAAGGAAATGGCAAATGCTGGAAAAGTATATTGTTTCTTCGATTCATTTAGTACTGACGCGTCATCGCTGAATAGATCCGTGCAGGATGAAATCAGTTCTTTCACTGTTCTTTACTACTTCAGGTCGCCTTAGAAACTATCGAAAACATTCGGACCGTTCAAGCATTAACTCTCGAGCAAAGAATGTATGCCAAATTTTGTGGTTACCTTCAGCAGCCAATTAAAAATGCAACGAAAAGAGCAATCGTTCAGGTATATCGATGCATTTTATCAATTGCAATATATTTTTGATTCATGATAAATGATGAAAATGACCGAAAACTTTGACGATTGAATCCGGTTGAGCAATTTCATAAGAAAATTTCTGTGCTTTTGATGCATGCGTCAACTTGTTCCGCCTGTTTAGGGATTATCATACGGCTTCGCAAATTCGATATTCTTCTTTTTGTATTCCGCATCGTATCGTTTTGGAGCGTTTCTGATCATGGCTAAACTTGCATCACCGATTGATGTTTTGAGGTAGGTTTGCAGTTCCTTCATTGATATTTTTGTGAACGTACTTCAAGCAGGAGCATCTAATTAGTACACTGTAGATGATTGTAATTTTGTGCTGTTTGAGAGGGAAAAATTAACTTGTATGTCGGTTTATGAGTGAATAATATAGATTCAGGGCAATAATGATAATACACTGTAACAATAGCAAAGATGAGGAACAACAGTATGAAAGCTAATGAAAAGTGCACTCACTCAGATTATTCTAAACAAAATGAGCCATCGTATTTTTCTCTGGTTGTTTCGTGATGTTTCAGAGTGCTCTTCGCAATCAGTTTCACAGCAGGTAGCGCAGGTTATGCGAGTGCTTACTTTCCTGAGTATGCAAAAGCAAAGTTTGCAGCAGGTATCATTTTCAAGATGCTCGGTGAAAAGCCAAAAATTGATTGCATGGGGAAAGATGGAACAAAGATGGTAAATTTTTGTGCATTTTCATTGTCCCAGTAATAAAGCATCAATAAACTATGAGACTTAAGTTAAAGAATCAAATCTATTTTTGCTGTAAGTTCATTTCATACTATGTTTGTCGCCGATTACAAAAACTGAGTATCCAATTCATTTATTGCTGCAATTCAATCATGCTGACCGAATATAAGGCGACATAAGTGATTGTGATTTTTAACTAGATCTAAAACGAGAACTGAGGTTATTCTCAAGTTGACAAACTGTGTGTCCTCGATGTGATAGAAAGAATGCTAAAAAACTCTTGGAATTTATTTCAGGAAATAACTGGTTCGGTAGACTTCACGAAATTACATTTCGCTTATCCGCAGCGCGCAGATGTTCAAGTCCTCAAAGGACTCAGCTTGCATGTTGACGCAGGCAAAACACTTGCGATTGTTGGACCAAGTGGTTGCGGTAAAAGCACTGTGGTTTCGCTTCTTGAACGATTCTATGAAATCATTGATGGAAGCATCGTAAAGTTTCTCGTTCTCTTCAGTGCTTCAAAAATGAATTGTTAATCGCTTGTTCAGTTAGAAAACCTCTAGAAGTACCGCTTGTTCAACACGAATAATCAGATGTATCGGAAATTAGAGATGTATAGCACTTGAATATGTTATGTATTTGTCATGCTGAGAGGGTGTTTGCGATGATAACAATCCCCGTCTGGAACAGAAAAGATTTTGCTTAATTGCACGAATTGCAATATAGAGCCGGCGCAAATTTTCAGGCAGTTGATGGTACTGATATTCGCTCATTGAACGTATCCTATTTACGTTCACAAATGGCATTGGTATCGCAAGAACCGATTCTCTTTGATTGCTCCATACGAGAGAACATTATTTATGGACTCCGCGAGGATCAGTTCGACGAAAACGACATCCGAGATGCTGCAGAGCTGGCAAACATCGACAAATTCATCAGCGATTTACCTGAAGTTAATAGTTTTTTCAGTTTTGTGAATGATTCTTACTTCTGCCTTGTCTGATGGAATAAAAACATTATGGCTGTTAATTCGTATCACTTACAAATTATTATGGTGACGTTTCCATTAACTTTCAGGGCTATGAGACGAGGGTTGGCGAAAAAGGAGTGCAGTTATCTGGTGGTCAAAAGCAACGAATTGCAATCGCGAGAGCGCTATTAAGAAAACCGAAAATTCTGCTATTGGATGAGGCAACAAGTGCACTTGATGCTGAGAGCGAAAAGGTATTCTTGCTTTATTCATCACTACGGGTTATACGAACGAGAAATTCATGTTTCCTTTACGTTGGATTACTGAATATTTCAGTTCAATTTGCATTGCCAAAAACATTTCAGAGTCGAAACAAATACCTGAGGGATTTTATAAAAGTAAATAAGTTCAACAAATTTATTCTGAAGGTTGATTCGCTATGTGACACAAATACTCGCTTGAACGAAACTTGCTGTAAACAAAAATATGATTATCATATGATAATGTGTTGATTACCTTTCTATGACAATGTTTAGAAAGAGACTAACTCCATTGATTTGATAAGAGTTGAACATGACATGATACTATTCATTCATTAGGCTCCGAGCAAAACGTTTACGACGGCTTCAAATGGAATGATAAATTGCAGGTAGTACAAGAAGCATTAGATCGTGCCGGCAAAGGAAGAACGTGCATTGTAATAGCACATCGATTATCAACGGTTGTTAATGCCGATTGTATAGCGGTACTTCAGAATGGCATCATTTTAGAGAAAGGTATTGGTTGTTGTCTCTAGCTTCTGAATGTGTTCATTTTTGATTTCTAATTGTGAGTATATTTTTATTCACTGGAATATTTTTTATCGTTGCGATTTTTGCTGAATTTATAACGTGGTTACCTTGAATTGCGATTTCTCTTAGAAATCAGGTATCTTTATCATTAACTTCAATTACAAATCCGATGGAGCCTTTCATGTTTCTGCTCATTTCTGGTTCAGATTTGTGAGTTCAGCAATGCATAGCTTTCTGGTTCAACTTTGTGAGCAACGCAAAACTTGTGCGGATCGCAGTTTCGTGAAATATTGATTACAGGTACACATGCTGAACTGATGAGTCAACAAGGTGCATATTACAAGCTCACAAATAAACAGAATTTGAAGGAAGCAAATGAGAAGCATGATCAACTTGAGGAGTTGCATATGTGAATGAAATTGTTTAGTGACTAGTCGAACGGTATCATAAAGCTTTCAGATATTTTTACGCAGTAAATTCGTTTTTATGTCTCGAAGAATGAAATCATCTTGTTCCAAGCAATAATCTGTTTTACCAAGAAACTTTTATGTTGTGCAAGTTTCCTATACATAGAAGGCTTTAAGCTGATAACGTAATGAAAAGAGCACCACAGAAAAATTCCTGCTCATGAGTGGACAATGTTATTGATGAATAATGTTATTGATACTGTTATTGATACAAGTGGTGAATGTTGTTGATACTGAAAGGGGTTGGATAAATTCATAGAATGTGATTCTCGAATGATACTGCTGATTTTCCAATGAGAGAATTCCAGTAAGGTGGAGGCACAATACTTGTGTTGTGTATTCTTGTCGTATCAGAATATCATAAACCATCGAACCCTCTCACATCAGGCTTGAATTTGCGAATTAGCGGAACGAATGAACCCTCAGAATAGAAGGGTTTATGCGTCAGAATGCATTACTTTAGAGCGCATGGTTTTCACCAACCATGTGTATGATTCTACAGCAGCACACCTCTTTCTCTGTAGGGAAAAGGAAACGGTTCAGCCGGTGTTCAAAATTTGCGTCGTCACTCAAGACGATAGACCAGTCAAGACAGATCATAACCAAAACTGCCAATTCAAAATCCGCTATCAGCTCAGAATGTTTATTGGTAATCAACGTAACGTATTCTTCGGATTTTATTCCTGCTGGCCATCAAAATGGAGTTAATATCTTGCTCAAAAATATGTCAAGACGCGCAAAAGCCGTCGAGTTCACTAGAATTCAAAACTTTCCTCAGGTTTCAAAAATCTGTTTGTCGTTCGTTTAAGTGTCTTTGTGCGTTTGTTTTTGTTTCAAGGGAACTGATGTTTATCTTGTGGATTTGACCTGATATTGCTGATTGCGAGAGGCGAACTCGTAACGATACCAGCACTGAATAAAGAAAAATAGTTCGGAAGTTGACTGGAACTATCATCTTTCGAACAAATGGTTGTTTCAATAACTGTAAATGAACCACAATAACATCGAATCGAGACAACCGCAACAATTAAAGAAGCAATCGGGAAGATTGCGAAGCAATTGCTGTTGTATCCTAGGTGATGTCTTGTTGATGGTCTATCCAGTTTAGAACAAGACGAATATGAAATGGAAAACTATTAGGGCGTATCTTACCATCGTCAAAACGCGATCTTGAATAACCATTACACTACATCATTGTTAGTTGAAAATGAATGAACACTGAATGATAGAAATTGATTTCTGGTCATATTGCTGCATAACTGAAACAATTAATGTGCAAAAATGTCAATTTGCAAAAGAAGATCTGTCAGTGGTGGACTGCAGCCACTGGTGATGCATTTTCAACTTCAATGTGCCCGACAGCTGGCATTAAACATACTCAATTTCACTGATCTATTCTGGGCTGCTAAATTACACTCCCTTTATTGCTGTTTGAAATACTGGAGTATTGCATAAGAATGAATTAGTTATCTTACAAAGCTGAGTCCACCTGAGTTCTGAAGTGCAAAGAACTGGCAGTGAACGTTACTAAACCAAGTACCCAATGAGTGGTGTTTTGTTCGAATGATAATGTTGCAGTAATTTCTGATGGTTTCTCTTCTCGTCTGGCATTATTAGCCCGTTTGCACAAAAGGAAACACTCCAATAAGACACACGCAGAAATAAGGAATGAACCATCACGATCCAATGCTCGCCAGAGAGATGGTTGCGATTGAAACGTTTTTTCTTTCGAAGTGTTTATTTCGTGCACGTGCGAATCATTTAGAGACAGCCGCCGTCTAAATGATCGAACGTTAACATTTATTATCCAATAACGCGCACACATTCAACAAAATATTCGATGCACAGATCGGCGGTACGCATTCGCTTGCCGTTGCTTGTCTTGTTTGTCATTCCACGTCACCCTTAACTCTACTCATTGGAACTGTTTATTCACTATACAATTTACCAAAAGTTCATCAGTTTCACTTTCGAAGCACGTACTGAAATATCTTTTTTGTTTCAGGAACGCTTGTAAATTTATTTATTACCTTCCAGTCTTTCTGTAATAATAATCTTTGATTCAACACTTCATTTCTTCTCTTCGTCAATATTCCTACACTATCATACGCCGACGCACTAATTCGTTGTAAATGGGTGATAAAACTGAAAATGGTACGTTTGTATTGATCGTTTGAGTTATTTCGACAACATACAACTGAACGAATTCTCGATGATTGGCGAGTAGACGCGCACAGTGTTTCAACGCTGTTTAAGCGATAAAATGCGTTGAGCTATGAAACAGTGCTACAGTAGTCCAGTACTTTTTGTGCTCAGTTTATTATTACTAAAATTCGTGATGGTGCGGATATTAATTACCTAAAGCAAACATCCTGTCTTCCATCAAACTGATGCAATTTGAAATCCGTGGGCAAAGCGCCTCTTCAAAAACTGTCAACATTTTCACTGTTCAATATTCGAAAAAAGACAATTTTGGCCCTAGAAATTATCATCTCAAAATGTACTTACTCAATTTATAAAGAAGCTATATCAAACCAATCACATCTTTCTAAAGAAAATCGTCTTTTCAAGCGCATTTTTCTCGTTATACGACTTCGTATTCTGTTTTCCAGAGCAAAAATTGCGGCTCAAAATGCTCTAGTAAATGGTTAGCTTTGAGGATTAGTTTAACGAAGGAAAAGAATGGATGTTTTCATTCGTAAAACTGTTCTCTTGAAGATAAATAATTGTTGACAAATTATTGATTTTTCGTTAAGATGTACATTTAATGGACCACACTGATATTGTGAGCAAATGATCGCACGGTTTTCTGGTCGTGAAGCGGCCATCAATGCTTAACGCTTAACACATCAAAATCATTCAAAAACCAGAAAACAATCCAAAAGCACATCCACGTTAATCTTTTTTGACAGTGAGCAATATTTTTGGGTCCGTATAGCGAGCTTTGCATTGAATTTCTTCGGAGCACACAGAGCATGATGAGTAAAATTGATCATGTTATTTTGTTTTTGAAGAGTCACTTAAGAGAGATGGTAACAGCCATTGCTATCTGTTTGAATGTTTGCTATAATGTTCCTAGTAAATCGCAAATGCTTCATTCATTCCAGCTCCATGAAAACAAAAACGATGTAATCATTCAGCTGTATAGTTTTTGAATCAATTGACTGATTGCTGTACTGCATGCAAACACTTATGTAAAATTTCGAAGCTGAACATCATCAAACAATAATAATGAGCACTGATTCTTCATTCGTCTAGTATTCATTGCTATTCATTTGAAGTAATGAACATTGAACTGTCATAAATGAATGCATATTGGAGTGTTTATACAGCTGTAAGTTATGTGAATAGTTGAGCACCACAAACATGTACTACTAGTGAAAAGTGAGAAAAAAATTCAGCTTCATTCAGCTGCTATAAGCACAGTGCGATATTTTGTACGTGGTTATTTGAAATACTTCTCACTCTCTTATCAGTCGTTCGTAGGTTTGGTACAGAATAAGGAGAGCACTTTGAGTTCACTTTGTAAAAAATCAGCGAGCGATAGCACACGTGCAGAATGGAACAAATGAAACGAATAAGACACACTCAAAAAGCACGAAACACCTGCATCGCCTTATCTGTTGATACGTAACCACGCCTTGCACCTCAATTAAAATACGATGATCTGACGGGAATTGATGATTAATGTCATTTACTGTTCAGGACAAAGAAGAGTGATTACGGTTTACGTTGAACCGATTGAGATAGAGCTCGACGATGATGGCAATCTTCTATTCAGTGCATTGCAGTCAGCTGTACCCGGTGCTTCGGGACTTTACTTTAGGGGTGAATGCAAATCAAGCGTCAAATTTGATGGTAAAAAACTTATTGCACCTGCTGATGGATGGAAGGATCGTAAATATTTTGCAAATCTAGGTGTGCTGCTTTAATATACAACTAAAACGAGAAGTATTCTACGTGAGAAGTCATGTAGAAAACACAATATCAGTTCACGAGCAAGAATTTGCGTTTTGCCCAGTCATCTAATAATTTATGCGAGTTTCTGTTGAAGACGATTGTTCGAAAAATATGCTTGAAGTGTTATTCGATAGAAAGCATCAACAATCGATGGAAAACTTGAGTAGCCTGGCGTACGCTTTTTTAATGTGTGTAGCCTTCCTCATTTGGTAACTCCACCGAGAACATTAAGTGAGGAAGTGGTATTCAGGGTGTCGATCAGACTTTCCATTCGGCAGTTATGCAAATGCATCGCGGCAGTTTGAAAGATCCGTTAACGCTGTACAGCGTCTCTTTGGAAAATGCAATCCATTGTTTGGTTAGTATGAATGCACTCTGCTTTTGCGATACACAAGTAGATATTGACTGCAAGAATATTGATGATTGTTGAAAGTGTTGTGTTACGAGAATGGAAAAAGAGTCGGCAAACCTGAACATGCGGTCGGCTCGAAAAAATTCGGAGACGGGGAATTTCGAAGAAAAAACTCAGTCTGATTACCGTCTCCCATCTCTGAATCTTCCCTGAAAACTAAACTTTTGAATTGGAGTCAGCAAGACCTTTCAAACAACATTTTCTTATGAAAAAACATTGAATTTCCATATATCAAACTAATCCAGTTTCCTGTTTCCTTTTTTTTCTGTTTCCTCTGATCAACGAAAATACTTCCACGCCGCGGTGTTCACGATTAAAACTTCCCCTTTTTGTTCCTGTTGAAATGTCGGTGTGCAAATATCCCCCAACCTCAGCATACACCAACAAAAAATTTATGTATCATGACCACAGTATCCCAAGAAGTTGAACTGAACACAGTTAGCATATGGGGTCCAATAACTGATGCGAACATTGCTGATAAAATCGCCCCGGATTTACGTTTTTTTTTGATGCTTTGATCTGATTGTATCAATTCTCTGAGAAAATTCGAGGAAATTCAAGAAAACTGTCGGGGAACGGGAATCCTCGACAGTTCTGGAAAATTCGGAGGTGAAGAAAATTGAGGACGAAATTTTACAATCGTAGACCTCGAAAACGCAGTCAGCTCGAAAAAAGTCGGCGACGGAGAATCGGGGACGGTTCCGCGAAATCCCCCGATCCCTATAACAAATTAGTTGAAAGATATGAACATAGAAATGGAAAGTTCCAAAAATATAGTGTGCCCTTATAATGCAAAAAAACACTATTTTGATGTAAACTAATCAGTCAAAGCACCTCTCAATACATCTACTTCTCGATCTTGATATTTGCTATAAAATTAACCAGGTGCTATCATCATTTTCCATAGTTTCAGACTACAGTCCGTTAGAGCGAGAGTTGATGCCAAGAAAACCGGTAGCGCTGAATGGCACTGCAAAAGAAACATCTGATAATCGAACAGAGAATATGAAACAACTTCTATCCAATATTACGGTTCATCCTTGTTCCCTTTTCATTCTTTTGTTACAGTACAGTGCATATCAGCTTCCATTTATTGCAATACAATCAATCAAACCGAATGATTCGTTTCAACTTGCGATCATTAATCGAGGAAATCAGTGAGCTTTCATTGAGATGTTCTATAGCATACAGCTTGATCCTGAACCACTCTTGAAAATATCCAAATCGTATTCATACGATATTTGCTTCAAGGATTTTGAATTTTTGACCACACAAGCATTTATATAGGCTTCAGTGATCAGTGGAAAGATATCTTCGTAAACAAGGACCTACTTTTGAGATATAATAACAGCCATGCATATGTTAGGCTGTTGAAATGAGACAATCATAGGCACGCGATAAAAACTCGCACTTTCCAGCAAAAACAGTCGAATCAGCCTTCAACGACTCAACTGGACGATCAGAAAATCACACCACTGGAGCAACAGTTTGTTGATTTGGCACGTATTTCAACAGCAAAAGACACAATTATTGAACAACAACGTTCAGATATAAGGATGCTTAACGATAAGATGGAAATGAAAAATAAGTGAGTTTAGTGCTCGGAAACGGTCCTCATTGCGGTTGAAAAATGCGTTCATCACGATAAAACCATGCTTTCTCTATAAGCAATTCTCATTTTAAACCAGTGCATTTGATATCTCAGTTTTTGCCTTCCGTTCTTGTTCTAAAATGAACATGCTCGAGAATGCTATGCATATTTCTACACATTATGCTAGTGCAATTGTGCAATAATAAACGATACTCAGTTTTCTTAATCTAGTAATCAATATAAAATTTAACACTGCTTCTTATAAACTTCTTAAAAGGGAAATTAACCAGCAGTCTTACAGAGAACTGAACGAAGCGCTTGACGAACTGTCAAAAAGCGAAAGGCGATGCAACGCAAAAGAAGAGGAATTGATAATTCTGAGGAATTTGAGTAAGGAGCAAACGTATATGTGCGAAAAGGTATGTTTGTCAGCAAATCATCCACACTATAGAAAATTTCAGTTCGTGCTTTGCTGACGGATACGGACGATTTTTGAACAGCTGCTCTACTGTGAAGACATCTGATCAAAAAGATCGTGGTTTCACGGAAAAAATCACATGATTTTTTAATGATCATGTAATCGAGATAGTGCAATTATCATAATTCAGTGAGCGAATCTGATGTGCTTCTTGATCGATCATCCAATTCACTTCACGTATTTTTTACAGTTATTATTGTTCTGAAGTCGTTATTGGTGCCTCCATAATAGGTAATGTGTTTTCTATGAATGAGTGCAAAAAGTGAGCCAATTCAGGTAAACGAATTGACCAAACGGTTGTTGGATTCAGAGCAAATAATAACTGAACAAAAATCAAGAAGCAACAGCCTGATTGAGAGGTGCATAGCCTAATACTTACATATTACTATCAATTTTAACATTTTTCCTATCCGTTCTTGCAATATACAAGAATCAAAGCTCGACACAGTGCTAAGATGTCAAATCGAGTCAATTTCAGACGTTCTTCACAATATTTTAAGCACTTGCGAGTTTTCAATCTGACATTCATTTAAACAATCTTTTAAACAATTTTATAGGATTAGAGAATTAGAAGAACAGAAAGCGCAAGCAAGAACTCAACTTGAACAGTCGACTGCTGAATTACAGAGTACTCAAATCAAAGCCAAGGATTTGGAAGTTCGCGTTCAAAAACTACAACCACTCGCTGAGCGCCGACAGATTGTGGTGATCACTTTATATATGCTCACAAAATAAGCAGAATTATGGGTTTCATATTCGAATCGTTGGGATGAATTTTTTGAAAATTCGCGAGCGATTCCAATTCAGCATATTTAATTAACCACTCAAATGTGTGATTCATGTATAACAGTGATGTGTTCGTCATACAATATGGCACTGTTGTTGCTTTGAAGTTTATAGCATGCTTGTTAAGCTCAGCTGCAGTTATCGTTGTTAAAAGACTGGTATAAAAATCGGAAAGATGAATATTTCAGGATGATGAACAAATACTGACCTACGCTGAAATGTCTGATTCAGTGGACGCGTTAACGAAGCAGAACCAGAAACTTGAGAACGAACTGAAGGAAGTGCAGGAAAAATATAACCAACTGAATCAAATTTATACCGAAGTTGTCGTTGAAAACACGAAAGCGCTTTTAAAGAAGTGCGTAAATGATTGCCTTTAGTCATTGCGCATTCAAATTTCGCAACTGATCCGTAGGAAGGTTTGCATCAATGGAGCAATTGACGAAACACTGATTACAGTGAATAGATCAGTGGTTCTCACGTTCCGGTGCTCCATTACCCCTTTTGATGATCTGGCAGGCCGCCGTCACCCCCTCCATCCTTGATATGGGAAACTATGGGTACAAACAGAAAACCGGTCCAAAAATTTCTCAGCGGTGTGAAAGAAATTAGTATCCTAGACTATTGCGTTGCTCATTGCTGCAATCGACTATGACTGCATGAAAAGCTATTGTCTCTTACACCCTCACTACAAACTGATTTAGACGAATTCTCATTCTTTTCAGACGTGTTGTAGTCACTCTCATAGCTAATACATGCGAATATCGTTCTCTTGACGAGTTTTTCTCATTCATTTCGACTCATTTCACTTCACAGTTCGAATCACTTTATTATTCTGTAGCATATACTATTTACTGGGTACGTTGACGAGTGTTGACAGCCGAAATCAACAATACAGAAATCGAATTGAATTGCTCAACAACGTTCGACAGTCAAATGATCAATTATAGAGTTTATTTGATAGAATGAGAATATGATTTATTGTTCGGTGAAATGAATGAGAAATTAGCAAAAAAGAACACTTTTGGTGATAAAATAGTGAAATGAACGAGAAATTAGCAGAAGAGAACACTTTTGGTGAGAAGAGAGTGAAATGAATGAGAAATTAGCAGAAGAGAACAGTTCTGGTGATAAAAGCTGAAAATGAATGGAAAATTAGCAAAAGAGAACACTTTTGGTGATATAAGCTATGAGAGTGATTGTAGCAGTAAGGAAAAGAATGAAAATCCCGTTAAAATATCTGAAAACTCTGTTAGGTTCGGACGATCTGCATAACTGAGCTACGAAACACCATCACGATGATATTCTATCATAACATAATAGATGCACGAAATACTAATTTCCCGACTCCCTTCTTTACCCCATGACACCTCCATATTACCCAAAATGGATAATTTCACCCCCTCTGAGAACCACTGAAATAAAGCATTGTGATTGAACGGAAGATTAATTCTGATTTGGAAGAACATCGAAACATTTCATTTCTACAGAAGTAGTGATGACGTAGGAGTGAAGATAACTGATGGTGAATCGAAAGCACACTCGGGTTCAACTGAAGGCAATGCGAAGAATGCGTTAACATGGCAAGAAGAGGTCAGTTAATCCACAACTGGAAACGCCACTTAACCTAAAGTGATTTTGAGCTGCGATTTCTGAGTGCGTTTGAAAAATTTCAACATTGTTTCAACATATTTATCACTTTCAATACCTGAGCGGTTAACCATTCATTATTCTACTGTTGTTCTGCCCGAAAACATCGAAAAAAAGCGTTTTTGAAGGCTCAAGTAAAGTCATCGATCTGTGTCCAATTACTAAACAAAGTTTCATTCTCAACCTCACCATGAAAGTTGCTCAGGTTTGAAATTTGTTCAGAGAAAAGCACTTAAAAGTGAACTGCTGGCAAGTGAAAACAAAGTCGCTGAGCTGACTCGAATGGTGCACGCATTAACTTCTGAGGCGGCAAATAGCGAGCACAGGTAAGACATCATAAAATTTCGAATTGCAAATAGTTATCGACTTAATTTATGATGTCACAGTTACTGAGACTTTCAAATGAACATAGAATTATGAAAGATATTTTCAGAGCTACAGAAGCCATTGCTACACGAGATGAACTGAGGCGCTCGCTAGATACTAAAATTCAGGTCAGAATGCCATACACGACGACAACCATTCACTTCTAAGCTTACGCTTCTCCACCGCACGAACGCTTCACTCGTTTGCATGAACCATCTTAAACAGTTTCGTTTTGTTGATTGGCATGAAATCTTGCTTTAGTATTGCTTGTAGTCATCCAGTCAAAAAATCAACGTTATCTAACCTTACCTTAACCTTTTGTAACATTTCAAATCGATATCACTAACTGATCACTACCACTAATCATCAATCAACAACTAACATCGTTCACTAGCTTGGGTATGCTTTTGTGTATCACATCACTAATCTACTAAACCTTCATGGAGATAATTTAGCACATATTCGATTAATTGAAACTATGATAACGCAAAGACTATTGTCCTCAAAACCAATGGAGGGACGTAATTGTGTACGAGTGATACAAGAATCGTCATGCTCTAAGATGAAGCTCACGTATCATCTGTTACCTAATAAAACGATTTTTCCATTTAACAATTTCGCTCTAATTGTTTTTTCTTCGAAGGTGAATTGTTTTGCTAGCGAACCACTCATTTTAAGCTATGAGAGTCACGCAAATGACAATATGATGAAATCATTGAAAAGAGACGAACAATGTACATAATTAGGAAAACCATCGGCTCTACAGTTTCTCACTGACAAAATATCTAAAGCATTCAACTAACGCTTCCTAGAAGGATTGAATCAGCTGAACATCCCAATAAGAAATACCGCATGGTGAGTCTATTTGGTGAGTACAGGTCTACCTGCAAATCGGCCCCTATCAAAAATTCTTCACAGTGACAGCAGAAAAATGCTGGAAGCACGTATACCAAATAAATGCACGAGTCAAAAAGCGATTTTCGTATACACATCACACTACAAAATTGTGTGAAATACGGTTACATTTACACCTCTATCAGCAGTCAGTATTTGGGGTGAAATTGGCTGATTTCGAAAGTGAGAACTTCCATATTGAATCGGCAGCGTGAAGAGTCCCAGTAATGCTATAACGGCGTACAACTGATCACTAATGGTTTACTGACAATGAGTTGAGTGAGCCAAGAACGTGTAAACTCCATTTTCTACAATTGCGTTGCGTTAACATACTGTAATTAGCGGTGCGGGAACAAAACAGAATATGAAAGTGAAGAACGGAACAGATCAGAACAATTTGCGAAAAGTGTAGGATCACTAGTGTTGATGGATCGTGGACTTGAGGATATTGGAGATGAGTTTATGATTGCATGCAAAATGCGCATGTTTTTGAAGGGATGCACAATAGCTGGTGAAAGTGTCTTTTTATTTGGCTGATCATATGCTTTTCATATCACCTGCGGTTTGGTGTTGGCTTATTATTTGACCGAATCAATTGATAAATGGAAAAGAACGAATTGATCGATGAGTATGAGTACTTTCGCTATGAATATTCTTCGAAAATGATCAAATGCAAGTGTGTGGTTTTCTGGCAGTGTGTATTCAACAGGGCTTTCGAAGAAAATATGCACCAAAGTTGATGAAATTCACCGAATAATTCAAAAGTTTTTGCACAAAATAATAATGACTTTCAATATGCTTGACTGCCTAGTTTCGCACCTCGCTGATTTACTAATTTGCGTGACAGAAATTTATTCTTTCAGATAACAATCTCAAAATGATATTCGAAATTGGTAATAAAAAATCACTCGACAATAGCACCGTTGAGTAGTGCATTGATCGGCCGTTCGGCAGCGTTGTTGTGTTTCGTGTTGAGGCTTTTTTAGGACGTGATTTTTCATTTCATTGAATAATCTTTCTTGTTCGGCATTTTTTTCTCGAACAACAATGCATATTGCCAATATTGATACGTTTTTTGAATGCTCAGCCAAATGTGGATATGTGAATGAACTGTTACGATCTTATGATTTTAACAAACCTTGATTTTTTTTAGTGTGTTCCATTAAAGATTCCGCTTCGTATTTGTTTCAAACTAATTGCGATCAGAACTCTTCAAAAGTACGTCTCTGACCTTTCACAATGCTCCCTATGTAGTCTTTTGGATGCTGCCAAGCAAAAAAGCAGAATTTCAAGTGATAGAAAATGATATTTATCCATTCAAAATATCTCTTCTCTGTTTAATGAACGTAAACATGAAATTGAGACGTTGATTGATCAATGGTTTTTAGTTTTGATCAACATCGTTCATATCTGTGTTTTCTTGTTTCATTCTCCATTCGTGTATTGTGTGCATGATATCTGTTCGGACTGATCTGTATGGGAACCTTGTGCTGGTAATGTGAGATGCTTTCTTGAAATCATTCGCAAGTTGTGTGGGCAATCGAATACTGATTCACGCATGGTCTTTTCAAACTAACTCAGTGTGGCAAATCTAATCAATTACGCAGAAGTTTACGAAATTTCTTCTCGCCAATTTTGTTCTCATCATCACAATTAAACAGTGGCAGTAATACGTTAGGAACATTCGTCCCCTCACTGATCTTGTGAAGCTTATTTCATCATGGCTCCCTGAGAGAGCGAAATCCCTCTGAGGATGTTTGCAGCTGAAAAGTTCCTATATCTCTGATACCAGCAATGTTTTTCTACTGCATAGTGTTGAGCTTTCTTGCTTATAACAGGAATAATTATAAAACTTATTCCTTGCATGAATCACTCAAATGTTTGTCTGATTGATTGGATTCTCTAGATGATTATTGAAAGATGTATAGAGAATTTTTCAGCAAGGAAAAGGCTGAATAATATCATAATCCATCGGCATTTTGACAGAAATAGAACTTCTGTTCTAATTGCACTCATAGTAGTACGCCTACCAGTAGTAGCTTCTCTCAAAAACAACAATTGTGCAAGTAAATTACGTTTTGTTGAGCTGGGTTGATCCTGCATGTGGATTGCATTTTATCATTTCTTGCTGCATACTGCTTTCAGACATTAAATGAATAACGATTCTTCAATGACCTTGAGCATAATCTTATTTCAACTTGACAGTGCTTCTTCATTGGATGCTATCTTAGAAGCGTTCGTGAATATGCATCCCATGAGTTTAAGTGATGAAAAATTGAATGAAACAATTGCAATCATGAAACTCTGAGACGAAATTGTTTCACTGGGAACGTCTTTTCTATCGCTTGTGCTAAACCGTGCGAAAGCTTGATAGTTAATCAATTTCAGGTCATATCCGATGCGCGTATCCTCATTCTTGATGCATAAAGGCGTATTTACAAGCAAAAATCCATTCTAGAGGTATCTCATCGATGCCCGCAATTTTAGTTTCTTTTTATTTACAATAAAATCACTTGTCATAACTTATGGTCAGAGTGTTTATGAGAGAAACAGCCACACAGTTCTTGTATCATTTTGTTTTATGCAGCAGTAAAACTGACTTAATTTCCAGCCGTATTCTGAAGAAGTGAACGATGAATTCAGAATATAATTGTGATATTTATTTGCAAATGTGACTGTTTTCCATTTTGTTCTGTGCAGAATACTTTCTTGGTTGTTGAGGAAAAAACGTTGAGCGTGAATTGCTGATCAGAAAAGCGCTGTAGTATTTGAGGAAAATACTTTCGGTTTTGAAAGACGAAACTTGAAGAACGTGTGTTACTTCTTAAGAAATAAGCTAGCAGCTGCGTTAGTGAGTATTCATATAAATGGAGAGCGTTCGATTCTGTTGAAGTGCTAAAGCCTTTGAAAACGCTTTTGCTCATCGTTTGTTATCTCATGCCCACAAGTGGTAATAAGTGATTGATTCAGAAGCTACAACAATGATTGTTCATTCAATCAATTTCGCGATTCATAAGTGATTGATTTTACGTTGATAAATTGGATGTGAAACTTTTGAGTGTGTAATTTCGTGTTGAATAAATCTAACTCTTCCCTCGAAAGCAAATTTTGATACTGGATGTTCGGATTGAATCGGGGAAGATGCACTGAATGTTGTCAACAAAAAATCATTGGAAGAAACGAAAGCATTTTTTATGCTGGCAGCTTCACAATGGGTTTGGTTCATTGGTACTGGAGAACATTGGAAATCCTATAGGCACGCTTTGTGTTCTAGCAATTTTTTTCTTAAATCCATGGACACTAAAGCATACTGCACCTTCTCAATGATCCCTATTCCATATTTTTGGGGTTTTTTGCAATAGATTTTTTTCCATATCTCACTAATTCCTTTTTTTGACATGCACTGAATATTCAACGAGCTGGAGTGATCGATTAAAGCCAATTTCATTGCTTATCAAATGATGTAAACGAGAGAGCAGCTAAACTGTTTTCCATTCAGAATTGTTCTATACTGAAAAGTTGATTTAGACCGTATAAATTTTCATTTAGAGAATATTCAGTACAACAAAGAGGTGCATTGATTCGGTGCGCGTATTTTTCCAAGTGTAGTTGTTATGCTGATGCTGTCGATCTTGCAAATGTTTTCTGAATCTTACAGTCAATAATGGCAAATACAGCGAATGATGAAAGAAGTAAACGGCTTTTTGACCCACGTTGTGCATGTAATAAAAGGGGCCTTGAACATGAGAAGAACTGCTTCGCGGCTGTTTATAGCTAAGCAATTGCAGGAATCAGTGCTAGAGGAGCGTCAAAAAGCTGATTATTTACGACATGATCTGAAAGAAGCGCAGCGGCGAGTTGCTGAACTCAATTCGCTGATCGCCGACTTCAGCTCTGATGCAAGAAACAGCAGACGAGATGTCACCGACCTCCTTTAGACGCCTGAACGCTTCCTTATCTATGCAGCAAACTCATTGTAACCTTGAAATATCCTTTTGATGCGTATCATAATTGCTTACTCTTAACGGCATTTCATTTCTCAACCAATAACGTTCATCTGCAGATGAAGGCCAAAACAACGGCACAAACTGTTCCCTGTTATTCTCAGTAATCTGTTCATTACCCACCTGTATATTTCTTCGCGTTTGTTGTCAAGCACCGCTCTGTTCATCACGATTAATAATAACCATTCATTCACTTCGAAAATTGAATGCAGCACAGTGTAGATAACCAATTACACGAGTTGATACATAATCGTAAACAATAAGCTCGTTGATCATTTTTCACCTGTTATCACTTCCAGCTGCTGGACCGAATGGTTTGAAATGGTAAAAGCCGTCAAACAAGATCAGCGTATGAATTGCGGTAATTCCCTTCCACGGGCATGAATCTGTTTATTCATAGGGAAATGCGTCACAGTCTTACAATCAGATGGGGTGAACATTTCTTGAGTATGATTCAGCCCTCAATATCATGCATTTTATTATCTTGCTTCAGTTTACACACAGCTATTCTGTTACTGACTTTCAAGTGAATACAAAGGAATCGAAGAAGAGCGAATATGAAATACTGGTGAGCTTGACTCCGTATCACGCCAAAAGTTCTGCGCAAAACATTCTCAGCTATTGGCTCACAATTCATTATAGTGTCAACATGCGCTTAGTGAAATTTATTGGACGATGGAGAACAAAACTGATTTGCTCACAGCATTGCTCAGTTGCATTTCAAGTCCGCTCATATTTTTCACGCATTTTGAGTATGACCGGTGCTACTCGGCTCAATGACAAGTATATCAATGGAGTAGCATATTTCCGCTGTCAATAGAAGTGCATTAGCTGTGAATTTTTTAAAGTGCAGGGTTGTTTGTTAGCCTGTCAATGTCGGTGAAATCCTTTGACTGAAACAGAATCCAAAATTTTGTCTTATCTGATCGAAGATGAAAAATTGTTCAGCTCTTTTGATGTACTCATCACTCCAGTGAATCGTAAATTTTTGGCCGTCACAAGGGCAGATCATAATGGAATATATGTATAATCTTTGTGACAGTTCCAATAATTGTTCTCGATTGAGACACTTCCGTGAGAAAGACAGATTTGGTACAGTGGTATTTTATGAAAAGTACAACGGAACTTATGTTTTAAGAGAGAGTGGAACTCTTTCGCAATCAAAACAATCTGGTCACGAAATATGATTAGAATCTGTTATTATACAACTACTTGACGGTGTCTGTTTGAAACATTGCTGTATTATGGGGCTAATGGATTGCAGTTCGATAATTAGCATAGAGGCTGTTGCATCCTTAATGAAAAAAGGAATAGCTTCATCGGATATGCTTTTAATTCGTTGAACATTATCATTGTCTTGTTAAATCATCGCTTACAAGTGATCGATTCCGCTCGACATAAGATGCAAATGCTGTCATTTCCGACGGCGGTTTGCAAAAATTTTCAAAATATGTCTGCCAAACAAGAGCGAAACTTTACGGAAATAACATGTTTCTAATTATGTGAGGAATGCTTTGCAGCTGGGTAAGATTGTGAAGTAACGTAATTGCTGTATCAGAAACGTCTCTCGGATCAAATCAGTATTCTGAATGTTACAGATAACTAGTAATGTTCTTCACTACTCGTTCTAATGTCACATTGTATTACTAGAAAATCAGATTGATTTGTATCGCAATTGAAAGCGATACCGTCTGAATTCGATGTATTCGTGAACAGTATAAATTTGAAGTGATCGCAACAAATTTGTACATTACGTTGTTTTAAACTATGCGGTCAATGTACATCTTCTGTATGCTCCTTCTATTGACTGCTTCGTATACAGGTATGACCCGTATTTTGTCCATTATCTCTTCGATTGTTGAAATAAGGCTACAGAGCTTGAAATTCCCTCTCATCGTATCAGAAAAAAAAATTAGGGAACTTCAGAAGCAAGTATATCTTTTAGATGAATTTCGGTCACAATGAGGACGACGATTTTTGATCGTTGTAGCAGCTTGTTGGGTATCTATCAAAGTTCAAAAGTAGTTGAGGACGAATCACTGACGAAGAGTGGATTTCAAAAAGCATCTAGGATATTGCTTCTTACGCCCTTGCCTTCCTTTAGCCATGTTGCAGAACATCATTCCTCACTGCAACAATCTACCTGGCTACAATTCCCTCCTCCTCTGACCATCCATCACAATTTGGTGACAATTCAGAGGAAAGCTGGGAAATGAATCCAGTGATCGAGAACCTTCCTCCTAAGAACACATCGATCATATCAAAAGGCTCCGCGTTTTCATAAACTCACTGTAGTAATTCGATTGGAGACTTTGGACATCATGAACTGCAATGCGTTCGTTTACGTGACATTTACGTTGCCATTTTCCTGGTACAGCATTATGCGTTGATTAACCTGTGAGCTTTTTGAAAGGTGTTATATGCAGTAGTAAGAACATCAAAATGAAATCCTTGATAAAGTACACATTTCAAAAGTTCACATTCAGTTCTTTCTGTATGTATTCTTGATCGCATTATGAATATGACAAGATATGGATTATGCTATCTACACATCATTATTTGGTACGATTTAAAATGTTTTAATCGGTGCCATGTTGTGCTCAAACTTTTGGAATCGTTGATCTTTTATTTAGTCTCGTACTAATGACTGAACTTTTGGAATCCTCTGTCTTCAGTGCCTTCTCTAAAATTATAATTACTTTTCCTTGTTGATGTCATTACTGATCACTAAATCCATAAATCAGAATAAATATTTTCATTAGATTGAAAATAGTTTTATTATCTACAATAATCACAGCCACGCTCGACCGTGCACTACCGAAGATGAAAATTTTGAAATATTCATAGGCTTGAAGGATTCATCTTTTCTTTATAACACGTTGTACCTTTTAAAAACGTTACGTCAGCTCATTCAACGTTTAACGTTGTACCACAAAAATGGTCGTGCAAATGACAATCGCGCAAACGATCGCAAATGGCGCAACTAGAAATACGGTGTCCCGTTGCATGCAGTATCCAGGTGGTGCACTTTTATTGAAAATTCCATGCGGGCAGTATAAATCACGTATTGAGTGAAATGGTGAACCCTCTTCACATCGTTGAGCACTTACTAAGAGCAAACGCAGTCTCCTCAACGTATTTGAGGTTTTCAGATGCAGAAAGGTTTTCACTACCTAGGGAGCTGAAAGCATTGGGAAAACAGTTCGAAAACCCGAACTTTATGTTTGGTGGACGGAACGACGAAAGTGACGAAAGTGCGAGCAGTGAGGAAACGGGTGGATCTGATCAACAGCAAATGGATGGATATCGTTTACCATACGCTGATCGAGCTCAACAATGGAATCGATGAGTGGCACGCACTCGTAAATTCAGCAGTGAACGTTTATGCAGAATATAATGTTTGCTTAAACGATAACTCATTTGTTAAGTTTAATTGTTCCTTGAATGACGATTTCTTTCAGCATCAATGTTGGTGCTCAAGTTTTTCGACAAATCAGAGCGTATATGCGCAAATGTTAGGTACTGATCGAATTTGAAGACTACGAAATCTTGGTCATTCGATAGCCTCACCGTAAGAAACTTGACTGAGTAATTAGAAAATATTGAGACCGGATTCAAGTGTAACACCTAAAAGCTACCCGTGCAAACAAATAGTTTCTGTCTGTTTCAAAGAGCCCAGAGGTTTTGATCGATATTCCGCTAGAGCATAACAGCAATCACTTTGAATGTATCGTTTTAAGGTTGCAGCTTGTTTCATTGTTGTGGCGCTGTGTATAGAAAAATCGACATTCTTTTTGAAATCTGCAATTCCTTTGAACTATATGTGAATTTAAAGTCTGAAATGTACACGTTTGTTGGTATGAATGTAGCAAAAAATTTTTAGAGAAGTATTCGCTATCAAATCAGAAAGTTGTTCATCATGTAATTCACTGGAAGAGCACTTGTGGTGTAATTCAGTGGTCACAATTTCACATAGGATGATTTGAATAAAATGTTCAAATGTTTGAACCTCTCCAGTCTTCATATGTATTGTAACACTGAACACACTATAAGAGTAGCCACCGATGTAGGTGCTGTTTACGCTGAACAAAGAACAGTGTACAGAGGGAACTTGCGATTAGAGACCAATGCAAATTCATGCAAACTGGTTAGTGCCAGTGGAAACATTGTGTAAGAGCAACGATTTTTATTCGGCATAATTTGAAATAACTTTTGCATCGTACAAACTGTAAATCATGAATCTGTGACACATTTGAAATACCATACTTTGATGACAATAAAATTTGTATACCTATGCACCACCAATTAAAAGTCAGTTATTGAGACACACGGAAGATAAAACGTTCATTTGCTAACATAGATGCAAAATAACCTACTAAATATTCTTTTACGTGATTGGTTCAAACTTCCGCAAACTCGATCGGCATCATCCAGTGGGTTAGGCAATAGAAACTGAATTAGCGCATGGAACATCTTGAAAAGAAGACTATGCAGAAGACGAATAGCGGCCTAATATATTATGCGTCTCATTGTTAGATACAAAAAGTAGTTGACTCCATTGTGTTTCATTTAGTAACATTTATCGTTTAAAATTTCATTCAGTATAGATGAGTTTCCGATGATTAGATAATATCATATTTGAGTTGAAAATTACTGTTTCGTTAATCAGTCCACTGCATACTTTTGCGAAAGATTTTTCCATATGCATTAAAGGTATTCTTTTGAGTGATCTTGGTATTCGAAGAAACTGATAGAATGGCATGACAATATTTTTGAATGACACAGATTGCTATTTCAAGACGATAAGGAATCAACCAAATCAAAACTTGAACATTGTTAATGTCAGCAGGGTACTACCTATGCTCCACTGAATTTCACATAGAAATTTTCAGCCGAATAAAAGTCGTTCCTCGAGTACTGCATGCATTTGATATCACAAGCATGCAATGAAGTTTGTCATGTAGACCATCACCTTCATGAGGAGCTTTTGTTTTTTTTCTTGTTGCAGTCACTATTCACGATTGCTCTTATATAGCAATATTTCACTTGATGCACAGTAGTATCGCTTGAAGCACAAACAATATGGAAACCTGGATGTGAATGGTGTAGGAATCATGAGCAAATGAGATGAAGTCAGTTTTCAACTACATTAAATTACATTATTGTTGAAGAAAACAATGAAAATAGTGAATTAGTCTGAAGCGAATATAATGAAAATCCATCGATTCATCGCTCAGATCTAGCGCTGCTATAGTATTATTTTCAAGGAATAGAGAAATCAGGCACTGGTGAATCCCAGAAAAGCGACTTGTCAAAAAAGGATGAAGAAGTAAAGGCGAAAAGAATAATTCTATGATCAAAATTCGTCACATAAATAGATTCAGCGCGCACGAGCACTATCGCGAAATGGCCAACAATAAAACTGCATAATTGAACGCACAAATGTTATTCACTTTGCTGAAAAATACAAATCGTTGACTCAATATTGGAAAATCGCACTGTGAAAGAAAACAGCACTAGTAAAAGTTAAAAGTTATCTGAAATTAATTCATGTTACACTCCATGACAAAAGATACATCGAAATTCATTTCAGTGACGCCATTTAACCGAAAATACATGCTGAGACTATTATACAATGATATCATCCCTTCAGAAAAGCTGCGAAACAGTCAGAAACAATCTCGCATGCTTTTGAGCGATTAATTACTGTTTGAGTCATTGCCAATGACGAGTCTTTCAGATGATGCTTCAAGCGAAGAGAAGCAAATGACGAACAGGATGAACTGTGAAAACAGCTTGAAGCCTTTTCGAATGATCTCAGTCCCATTCCAAGTCGACAGTGTTCACTCGAAGTTCGTTGAGCATTCGCTTACCATAATCACTGGTGCATTTGTTAGCCTTCCAGTGCATCTCGCAAAGCTGCTGTTTACATCCTGAATAATCTTTCAATCTATCGATCACGCTCACAAAATAAATAATCCACTTTCTTCACAATCACCTAGTATGCAATGCGAGCGTTGATTTATTTCGTATTTGATCACTTATTGGTAGGATGACCTCACTAGTCAAGTATTACCCGCATAAATGCACTGCTATAATTCCATCTGAAGCATCGAAGCAACACCGTACATTTGGCATGGACCCGATACATGCAACGCTTTAACAGTGACTTTTGGCTGAACGATCGTTAGATGTAAGCAATTCGCAAAAAGTTGTCACTGGCTCATTGCTCATAGGCCGAGCAAGATTTTTGCTCTCAGTTTGTTTTGCGAGTTTCAGCACCTCTCCCAAAATCACCTTAGAAAAAAGGCTACTTCATAACAAGATGTTGAATCGAAGGAAAACGAGCATGCTTCGCATACCTTCACAATAGGCCGTACTGGTTATCTTTTTACACATGTCGCACATCGAACGCTTGTACTGCGTCCGATATCGTTCCATCTTGAACAGATGACTGTTCATTGCTTCGATTTCACGAGTTTGTATTAAATTCAAATTTGCTCCTATGATCGCACCGTACAACTGCAAGCAAATAAACCGTTTTAAAATTTCAATCGTGATGCAATGTGTCATAGGATCAGTTTCTTTTCTGAATATTTGTTGAGCGGGAATTATGGTGGTTGCGAATGTGAAACGAGACCGCATCAGGTTCATACTTCAAAACCGGTTCTATCAGCCTGTTTACTACTGGAGGATGCAAATATCAATATAGCACTCATATCATTACTTATTTACTCGACCAGTATTCCATGAACTGAAATTTGTAGCAATGCACTTTGAATAATATGGGAATCAAAATCATGAGTGAGTCAACAGGTTGATTCAATTTGCAAACAGTTCCAATTGCCCAACTGAAGTGTATGATCAACAACATGAAACTGATCTTGAACAAATGACTGTTCATTGCTTCGATTTTACGAGTTTGTATTAAATTCAAATTTGCTCCTATGATCGGGAATTATGGTGGTTGCGAAAACTTGCTAAATTCTTTCAAATCTAGCAAACTGCGCAAATGCTTCTCAGCAAACAGCATAATTCTCCCAACCAATCTGATCGGCATAATTTTTTTTTCAAACCACACCATTGGAATCATACTAATTTATCATTAATCAATTTTGCTCTAAATACAGTCTTTCGGCTTGTGATCAGATGTCATCCTAAGAATGCTATGCCCACCAATATCTGCTTTCGCAAAAGTCGGTGACAGGTTTCACTGGTGATGCTTTTTTTAAAAGAATGAATGGTTTCTGACAAGAAGAAGAAAGAAAGAATCGAATCGCTTTCCTACTTGAGAAGGTAAAAGACGACTCAGCTTTAGCCGGTTAAATGTGGTTTTCTCTTCAGCTGCGAGTCTTAGAATGAGTCGAACGATCACTTCCTTTCTCAGATGGAACTCGTTTGCAGCTAACAACAGCGTAAGAAGTTGGTCAGGTTTTAAACGCCTAAAACGTTGTTAAGACGTCATGATGCTGCGCAATGGACTGCAATCAGGAGGTAAGAACAGCATACTACCCTTTGATCAATTCACAATCTACTATTACCCTTCAACAGCTCCCGAAAACATTCCATAAATGTCACATTCAAAAAACGGAACATCAACACTGCAGTGTTTATGCCAAATATTACAGCTGTGCATTTTTTCAGAGATCATTTCGACAGCTGTTCTCCATAAAGACTTTTCTTCAGAAAGAATTTAGATCTCATCTTCCGCGATTCGTTTACCCACAATTTCACCAACAAACGACGAAAAGTAAGAAGCTTATTTGAGAACTTTGTGGAATATATAGTCTCATAAGGTAATTGCAACGAAAGAAATATGCTAATCATTCTGAACAGACTCTTGCAAAATCAAATTATCCTGTGAAGCGCCATCATTTTGGTTGTTTTTTTGTGCAGTCAGTAAGTGCATATGTATTAGAGTCAGTGTACTCACTGCAGGTCGATTTTATTCAAAATGAATTGTTCACAAGCATCGACCAACAAAGCCACTTGATACTTATTGGCCAGTCTCAGCACGGTTGCGAAATTACCATCTGGAATGTGCGGATTGCTCAATCGTATCACTCAATCAAATTTTTAAAGCTGTTATTTTGAGTGAACTCGAACATCGCAATATGGTCGAGCATAGTGACTCGCCTTATTGCAAGCCAGATCTAGTTTCAAAGAATGCTATGCAGTTTAATATAAAACATAAAACTGAACTCAGACATTGCTTATTAATGAATTCGAAAAATATTGACAGTGACGCATAATTACTTCTGATAGGGGTTTTCTCACCTTCAAAATTTACTTCAGAGAACGGCCAAGGGCGAGGTGAGGGGAGAATGTTAACTTACATATTTTCCACAGCCCAAAGAATGTGCGTTTTAGGAAAGTGAATGTATCAACTGAAAGAAAATGAGGTAACATGCCATTTATGCAGCTTGGTTCGTCGAGACATCGTAAGAAGATCGAAATATCGTTGCTTTTTTCGTCAACGATTTCTCTTGATAATTCGCGTCCGTTTTCGAATTCTTTCCCGAACAACATTACCGCGAAAATAGGTGAAACCTTCGAAAGACTTGCGGAATCGATCAGGAATGTTTGATCTTTGACAAGCAGTTTGAACGGTCGACCAAAACCCGAAACGGATGGTTCCTCCTCGCTGTAGTGAGGCAAATCTGAGTTTATTGCTATGGACATCATTGCGCTGTTATAGGAACTGAAACCATCGTCATTATTCTAGAAGTGTAGTTCAGCTTAAGCTCTTCAAATGAACGATAGGGAGACAACATCAACCATGTTCGACAAAAAAGCAGTAATTGTTGCAAACTGATGGTCGATAAAGGAATAAAATACTTTCGACATATCATATAAAATAAAGGGGATGAAACAAATGCGATTGAAGCCAGCCTAAACATATAATGTCAAATCTTAGTACTGTCAATAAATGAAATGAGGCGAGGTAGTGAATAAAGTTTCGCATACTGAATGAGTCAACAATCAACGCTAAACTTCAGTGAAAACAACATTCATCAGTATTCAGCAGCAATCAAACAAATTCATTCCAGAACAGCTGTTTTATTGGATAGCGGTTGAGAAGGAAGCTTGGATTTGCCGTTTTGAGTGGACACAGGCAAGGATTACATTACAGACGGTGTTATTGGTACCTGCTTTCATAGAACCATTTTGTCAATCTCTAAAAGCGCTTCTTATAAATAGCAAATAAACAAACAAAGAAACTAAAAAAAACAAGGGATAATATCGTATTTGGTTGAAATGGCGAGAGCTTGTTCGAATCAAAACAAAAATTATTTTGCACCTGAACTTGTTGGATTGTCAGACAACAACAACAGCATCAACACCAACAACTAACAACACGATACCAATGGACGTTGTTGTTGTTGCTAGGTGAATGCTGACGGCTATTTACACGCACACACACACAAGAGTACATTACGTCAGGATTGTACTTTATGCAAACAATTAATGACGATATCATGCGAGGTGCTAGACCAGTGGATTCGAATGTGAATTTATTTATTTGCTCGTATAAACAGAACTGACAGCTACTCAGATGTCGACTATCGCTTGTCTGCAACCAATATTGCATAATTTTTTCTGCTAATTTTTGCGCTTTCTTAAAACGAATTCAATCTTCGAAATGACGTGCAATTTTGCAGACGCAACTAAACGAACAGATCAAGAGAGGCACATAGTGAAAAATAAAACAACAGTGATGAACGCGAACGAATAGGTTTGTACGCATATAGGACATATCTGGTACTTGTGCATGGATATATGTATTAGACATATGTGTGCATTTGCGTTTCGAATGATTATTGCCTCAATCGTGTTCAAACTTTATACTCAATATTCAATCCTCAACGTTCTTCACATACGCCACTCAGAAAAGAGTTTCACATCAACACATTAATGAGAAACACGCAAAAAAAACGCATGTTCAATTATGTTTCCTTCAGATTTCGCTTACTCGGCAATCCATGCATCAACGGAAGATTTTTTCTGATGCATTGCCGCATCCTACTCCCTCCACTTCTTTCCTCCGAACGCTGCGCGTTTACGAAAAAATGATCTATATAAACGATCCGTTCCTCGCGATTCTTAATTGGTGCTGAGTCTCTTTGTTCTAATCGCACACATCCGTTGGTTGCGATTTGCTGCATTATCTTCAGTACGACAAGTGAATTAGACGCGAAATCTCCTGCGTTCAAGGAGACAGTTGAGTTAGTTTACAGAAGCTTTTGATGGGCCTAAAATTTATTTCGATGTTTTACGGCGCTTCTACTGTATGATGCTGAGCAAGGGAATTTTCGACACTCTATGAATACAAAATTATACTCAGTTATGGCTGCTTCGGAATTCAAGATAAATCTGGATAAAAAGGGCATCAATAAGACTGAAAATATCTGTCCTGATTAACATTTTAAATCCACAGTTTAATTTTACTAATGGATCTTCATGATGAGCTATCGTTAAAGCCTCTGGAAATTCGCTGAATCAGCCATTAAGTGCAACCAAAATTCGATGAATACTTCTCGATTCACAAAATCAGCATCATTATTTCTATCAAATTTCCTAAGAAGATGTCACTTAGCATGAACGGTAATTTTCGAAAGGAATTGGCAATTAGTCGGTTTATTCGAAAAGGTAATAGAGAAAGAAATCTGTTTCAAAGATGAATGCAATAGGTTTCAATTGTGAATGAACGTACGGATAAACGAACGAACAAATGAATGAATAAACGACATCAATTCCCGACTTACTCAGCAAACAACACGGATTGTATAATAAACGGTGAGTGATGCCTCTTGGGATGGATGTCACTCGTATCTCTCAGTTATTTCTAGCTTATCCATCTATTTACCTTCACACATTTCACTGTTTGCTATTCACCTACCCGCAATTATAACCGTAAATTTATCAATCACAAGTTCCACGGAATTTATTCGTTCATTACAGATCGATTACATTCTTCAATATCATCAATACAAAACCTGTCTAATGTAATCAATCAGTTCGCCAGATACAATGAATTTTCAGAGAAGCATAAAATCAATGTATCAAATCCCATGCGCTCTTTGTTGTTCGATCTAAAGAGGCGTTTCAAGAGATTTGTTTTCATCAAAGAAAAGTTTCTAAGTGTGGTTGCACTTCTATATACATAATCTGAAACTTCATTCGAGTTCATCGATCTTGATTTTACACTCCTAATTGTAAACAAATGAAGTGTATATTCTCCTGCTCATTATACAACTCAATCACTGGATATTCTTTTTTTTATTCTGATAGAAGAATATTCTTCTGCAAATAGCCTAAGCTTGAATCCGCGATCCTGCTCTCACTCTTCTGAATAAATCTTTCAGATTTTCACCTAAATCATTGGCCGATTTTGGACTTCTTCAGAGGTTAATTACCGCCAAAACTTTACTGGTACCATGCAATTTTAGCGATAGGATAGAATATATGTCGACGTTAAGAATTCGTGAACAAAACTTCACCTGAATGTTGATTCGTTCATTGCTCTTTGTGTGATTGATAGGGAATACCATGCATCGTTTTCGTGCAAAATGAATGCACAATTGAAAATAATTATTGCTCTTTTCGAATCTCACAGAAGTGTCGCACCATCGATCGTTCGAAAAACGAATGAAGAGATAAGAAATCGTGAAGGTCTGTTGAAAAGAGCAACACCACGATTATAAGTAGCAGTCTACCAACTGTCAATCCAAAGGATGCTATTAGGCTAGTAATCGTATGCCGTTAAACATTTTTCTGCTTACATAAATGGTGTATGTGTGTGTGTGTGCTCGGAAGTGATGATGCGAACGGGCGGAATTGAAGGTGACGGGAAGTAAGCAAAAGTATATTGGCTTTTCAGTTGACGAAAACTCAATAAACATTATGAGAACATTATTTTGAACATTATTGTCCAGTGGAATAGCCTCACCTCAGTTTAAAAGCGGTAATAACTATCTTGCAGCTTGATCGAACTGACCACATGATGGAGCGCTGAATGGGCGAATGAACCAACCGATGGCAACACGCTATCCAATTGTTATCACAAGATACTATCTCATGGGAGAAGCATTTCAGAAAGCAATAGCGATTTCAGCCACAAAAAAAAACAACAGCAAACATGGTCTCTAAGATGTCCTTCAGTGATGTTTTTCATCGTTGCAAAACATCATTAATAAAAAGCTTCTTGTGAAGCTCTTCATGTTAGACATAGTACTGCATATGTTCAACTGATTAGTGATTATCTGTTAGCACATAAGCAAAGTTCAGTGGATTAAACTAGCCAAATGACTTGTTTTAATGTTCAGCTAACGATAAATAATTTCAATGGTTTTTTAATGCATTGAGATTTCCGTAAATCATTCCAGTGATCACTTCTTATAGTGATCATCAACATCTTGTTTTAGTTGGCGTATAATTGACTGGTTTGAGGAGGATGTTTTGTGTTGAATTGGAATATCATGAGAAATTGTTTTGGTGCACTGATTGTTCATGGAGTAAACATAAAACCATAACATTTATTTGGTAACATAACCTTCCATTCGTAAGCATTCCAAGACAAAACACCATTTATGTATATATGCGGTTGCTTGAAAAGCTCTAAATATACGAAGGATTCAGTTTGATAATGAAGAGCGTCACTTTACTAATTTCTTTTCTTTTACTTGTTAGTGTTAATTCGCAGCAGCAAATAAAGTCCATTGTTATTCCACAACCACCTCCACAAGGATGTCTACGTGAGTTTATACCTTTCAAACTGTACCAACAAGTAAACTGTCGAACGACCGGCTAGGTCTGCTAGGTCTAGTAGTTTCACGACACAAAAATTACGGTGAACTCTTTTTCAAACGCTGCTCTTTTCGGGGGAAACGTTGTATAATACCACTGATGCAATGCAAATTGCACTGATACAAATCATTTGAACGGCTCTGCGTTCCAGAATGTACCCTCCGTGCCGCGTACCGACCATTGGGAAGACCGTCGTTCATTGACTGTAATCCAGGTGGATCTTCCACTTACAGTGCGTGTGTTGGATGCTGCGCAGGTTACGCTTTGTCGCGTGGCAAGAATGTGGTAAGTTGAAATTGAACTTCATTGTTGAGCAGATGCACTTATAGCTGCTCTCGTCTAAAGATATTCCTCTCATGAATGCAATGTAAATCACGGACGTATGTTCCTTGATCATTTGACGACAATGATACAACATTGCTGAAATTTCCATATTCAAGCCTTACCCGATTACTGCAGTCTGCATTAATGCATTCTACAGAATTTTCGTTTCAGATTGACGGTACTGGTCTTGTCACCCAGAACAATCGGTGTGTATGTTGCTTGAAATGCTAGATTGTATTCGCCGCTTGCATGCAAGAAAATTGATTGAGTATTCCATTTTGTCTGCAACATTCATTGTTCATCACGAATAAAGCTTATTTGCTATTTGAAGGCGTGAATTTTACAAACACAATGCTTCTGCAACAGTGATGCTTCGAAAACGAGCCATCACTGTGAGTTCAGAATACAGATCGAATATGGCCATAAATGTGCATGTTGAGTGCATTGACATGAATTACACATTTAGTTTTCATTCATTCCCTCAGAGAGTTAATATTCGACCATAGTAGCAAATGTTGGCAGCTGCTGAAGTTCCACGTTTACTAGACTGATGATATTAGCTGTGTGAAAACACATGCTTCAATCATTTCTTTACACTATGATGACTTTTCGTAATTTGAAATTGTTTTGAAGATACAATATACTACTTATTCTTACCTCTTGCAATGAGTCTGTAATATTATGTGCAATGACTTATTCTATGAGTAAAATCGAAAGCTGATTTTCAAGGACGTTGTTGCAAGATGAGAAAAGTATAACAGAGAATTAATCTTTTAGTCCCAAGAATACCGCATTGCGTTTTTGCGATACAAACGTTTGACAACTTATAAACAAGGAATCGGAATTTTGGCGTGCCTGAATTGTGAAATACATATTGATGATGAAACATATTTGACTTTATGGAAGGTTCGCTTCCTAAATTCGCCTACCATAAACACATTTCTCTCCTCTCCTTCCNCCCCCCCCCCCCCCCCCCCCCCCCCCCATCCTCGACTTCGTTTCCGTATATATTTCGTCGCACAACTGCCACTTGCCCTTTCACGAAACATGTTATTCAGACGTTTTTCTGCGTGGAATTCTATAAATCGTCATGTTTTGTTTGATTGCATTTGAACATCACTTAATGTGAACGCGCTGACTACAGATTGAGTACATACATTCAAATTATGTTAATTTCCATGATTTACCGCTTTTCGCTTGTATGACTTGTGAAATTGTTTTTTTCTTTCGCTTCGATAACCTTTCTTATCCTTGAAATTTTTTCTACTAGCTCCATAATCCATGTGCTACACAGTGAATTGGTGTTTAGTAGCAAGTATTTGTATTGGAGCAACTAAATAGTATAAGCATTTATGCTAAATGTTAGCTGTTTCGAGGAGGAAGATTGGTGCAAATCGTGTGCAACTAGTGGTTGGGCGATGTTGCTGCAGTTCATCTGGCCTTTTTCTCAATTCATCTTCTATTTGAACGCAACGTTGGTTTATGTGACGTGGCAATCGAACGATCAGTGAGTCATTTGATTCGTCGATTTAAGAAAAATGAACGAGCAGAATCAAAATTTTTACTAAAAACGGATATGGTGTGAATAAGTGTTGAATGCAAGCAAGCACATTATTGCTTTCATCTTGGAGACAAAATAAAATTGTTCGTGCTATAAATGATGATGCGACAACCTCACTGGCATCGTTCAACATGCATTCAATCATTGTTCTCTTTGGCTGCCTTCTCTCTGCTTCACTTGTTGTCCCGCAAGGACGACGACCTGTTCAGTCACAATCGGTTATAATACCTCAGCCACCATCTGGAGGTGGATGCGTGAGTAAGTTAAACGGATTCAAACATTCAAACAAAATCTTTTTCATAGCATACAGTTAATACATACAAAGATTGAGTTTTTTCGCTTTATTGTTAGTTTGGGCGTTCATTATGCACATCGAGAGAATCAAAAAAAAAAAAGATAACAAACTTGCAAATCGATGTGATTTTAAATAGAACCATTTAAAGGATGCGACAACAACGCGTTCTTCCAAACACTCCTCAATAATCGAGTTCAGTTTATCACATGCAGTAACCAAAAAGAAAGTGGTTGCGCCGGATGTTGTACTGCATACGCGCTTTACAAGGGTAAATCGGCGGTAAGAACTGATTTCATCAGATATTCGGTTCTGTGCTCAATTAATGAATGATGATTGTAGAAACTTAACCCTGTTCATTTTCTGTCTACCTTTCAAATTTCCCTAACAACGTCATCGAAATTTAGCAACGAATTTGAACAGACGCGTAATCGAACGCACGCTCTCTGAGCCGATCGGATCCTCCAAGCTCATCCTGAAGGCAGTACACCACCATTACACGCTGCTTTCAAATCTATTTACGCATTCTCTTCTCTCTATCCACATCATCTATTTATGCCGGCTTTTTGCGCTAGCTGCGACAATGCTTTCATTTTTTCTCATTATGCTATTTTTGGCTATTCAAAAGTGCAGCAATTCCGAGCATAATTTCAGCTACAGAAGAGAACAATTTTATGATCTAGTTCATCATGTCGGTGAATGATTTTTGGGCCAGATTCGATTAATTGATGATTAGAAAATGATTGATAAATGAATGAATTTTCAGATCGAATCTGCTGGATTCGTCAATGCAGGAAGATGCACATGTTGTACGCGTTGCTGAAAAAATCTCTTATTGCCTGCTTGCTAATTGCGAAATAAACATTTTACTGATGCAATTGCATCATAGTTGATTTACGTGTAACCGCATTCCCACCGAACTGATTACTATAGGCAGTTACCTTAAGCAACTCAATGCAGCATTATACATCCCAAGAAAATACGCACATTCCGTTGTCAGAAAACCACAGAAAAAGAACACACTCTTCCATGTGCATCTTTTGCTAATTATAAAAACTATATGTGTTAGCGATAAAGATCATCGGTTTATACAAAAACCGGTTATCCCACCGATTATATATCATGAAGGCATCTAATCAGATCATTTAACCTAAATTCTACCAGAATCAGATACAAATTATAAAACGCATAAATCATTTCAACCAATCAGCACATTCAAATACAATCAGTAACAGGATGGTTTTATCATAACGTTATGTTCAACCTATCTCGCTGAACTTAAAAAAAAGCAATCAGTCCATTCGCAGCTTTACAGAAGGAACATATTACAGTTTAAACTACACCAAGACTACGGGAAAAAGTCTTCCAAATAAGGAACGTATGGTATCATTACGTAAAGAATGAACTCTGAAAATGATTACGTTTCTTTCAATCCGCTTCACGATTCACTAACAACAAACAAAAATGATACACGAATCAATGTAATCGTGAAGATGCAAAATAACAACGTAGCAGTAACTAAAACGATAACTGTAGTGGTGAGTAAAAATGCATTTGTATACAAACTGCTAATGAATCTAATGTAAGCGGAAGTTCAATCACCTGAAGTCATTCTCATGTGCATCACTGAGTCATGATGGTAGTAAGTGATCTACAAGAAGGTCGCATTCAGACTGTACACCCTCACTGTTGCATCACAAATAATACTGCGTATCAACTGCACACAGTTTTCTTAGTTTGACGGATAAATTTCGGTGCAACATTAAATCAATCGCATCACCATAAGGGAAGTAATCATTGAAGGAAGATCCGAAACTTTGGAAAAGAACCTTCTTGGTTCCAGTGTTGGTTCACACAAACTGTGTAGACTGTTTGCATCTTCGAAAACCGTTTGTCACTCCGCAGAACCATACTCATTGAATTGTCTGCAAAATATTTCGAGCTCAGCTGATTTTTAATAAACGAATTCGGTCAGATATGACGGCAAATTCAGTCAGGTATTGCATTTAAGATCTCATCGCAACATTATTCTCTAAGTATTCATATAATTCATTTTCTTCATCGCATTTCCATCCTGTAGTTTTGAAATCAACAGCAAAAGTCATCAACCCGTAAACCTTTCATTATTTTTCGTTCAGCATCCATCTTGATTACACGTCAGGCAGATCTCGGCGACCATCTTTTTCATTGAATCATGGAATTTATCATATGATCATGCTCATCATTTTGGAATATATAGCAAGAAGGCGGTATACTCTGACTTACAATCATCTAGAGCTATCTTATTTTATATGGGCATTCAGATTCAACCGAATGAGCCTGCTCCAGCGTTTAGCAAAAATATTTTCAAAATCGGGCGACTTTTTAAAAGCACAAACTTTGCAGACCACTGACACATGTAAGAAACAAATTTCTAGGAATTTGTCGAGAAAGAATAAAGAAATATGGAAACATTTTGAACGAGCACATTAAAAAAAATAATTGAACACGTTCCTATGAAGAAGTCAAAATAAATCTCAGATAGTGTCACCTCCATAGCAGACAAAACATGCAGGCTTCAGAAGGGTATTTATTTATTTGCCTCAAACCTCATCTTCATTCATCTCGATATGAATTCTCTCTTTGCTTTATTTTGCTTTGTGGCTATTGCATGTGCACAACGCCCACAACGCCCACAATCCTCGGTGGTGCAGCAGCAGTCAATTGTGAATCCATCTCGTGGTTGCGTGAGTAAGTTTTATGATTACTTGCATACTGGGATGTGTTGTTTAATAGTCTTTGTTTGTCACTGATACAACTGTGAAGTCAGTGGAAGATTCAAAAATGTTAAGAAGTTAACCTAATATTTTAAAGATTGCAACGCACGAGCAGTGTTCAGTTTCCGAGGCGGATTCCGATCGAGAACAGTGACATGCAACAGCGTTTCTCGAGCAGACTGTCCGGAATGCTGTAAAGCGTACGCAATTTCAATTGGAAAGCGTCCGGTGAGCTGAAAACTGCCTTCATCATTCCGCATATCAGAATTCAGGGAAAAGTATGAGCATTACGGGCGAGAAGGGATGGCATAAAGATGCTTGATGTGTCGTTGGGAATTTAAATTAGAAGACCGTGAAGAGGACGAATGAGTTAACACGCAGTCGAGTTTGAACCTTAAACCCCCAGGAAGAATATTTCTGAGGAATTGATGAATATTAGTAGATTAAGCAGACTGGTGGTTTTGTGCTCCGATTGTGGTTCCCTATGATGATAGTTCTAAAGTTTAAAAGACGTTTTTTGATCCAGTTCATTGTAAGCGTATATGGTTGGTTTGATTTCAGGAAGCCTCGGCTGGTTTCATTGTCAACAACAGATGCCTGTGCTGTACTCAATGTTACTAACCTGATTAACTTTTGACAAAGCAGCAATGCATAGCGGCAACATTTATGATGTGAATAAAAACCATTCTTAATCGCTTCAATGTTCGTCAGCACT